GAAATGAACCTTTGCTGAACATCTTTTGAAATCTGCATTTTGTTGATGCTGAAGCTGTGAATTATGTGCTTGCCTGATGTGGTAAGGTGTGGATAAGTCTCTTCCTCTTACACACCTTTGGCTTTTTTTTCTTTTTTTTGCCACTCAAGGGCAGTTGATCAATTTTCTTCCTGAGTTTTTTTTTGCAAATATCTTTTGAAGGTTTTTACGTTTATTATAAAATGCAAGTCATTGTACAGATGCCAGTCTGCCTTACTTTTTGTCAGTCTCAATTAAGACTTGATTGAGTTGCAGTACTAGAAGAGCTATTGAATTTATGATTTATTTTGTTATAACTATTCAGGCAAAAGCATGTTACTTGTTTTTAAATGGGAAAAGGTAGAATGGTTTGGCCTGACATAAAGTAGATAGAATTTGTGTTCATGCTTTAGAAATTACTTGTATGTCTTGGTTATGATTTTTGCACTTTTTACATTACAAGTATAATGGACTAGTAAAGTAGGTAAAAAGACAAACCACTAGCACTCGTCAAATTAATGCTTTCTTTCTCAGTGTGAAAACTCTATATAGGAGTTCGTTTGTTGACACTTTTTTCTCTCTTACACATAAACACTTCTAAAGCTCATAATTTGATATTAACCTTTTTTTGTACCAGAATGGCTTTGAATTATTTTTTAAATCCTATAAGTTTGCATATACTATTACTTGAGTATATAATATCAAACCACAAGTAAAACCAGCATGAATTTGAGTATTCACAAGATTTTAAGATGCTTGTTCTTTCCTTACACCCGTATAACCACCTTTAATGTGAATGCAGCATACTAACATGCCTGTCCTATAGCTACAGCACTTTAAAATGGCCAGTGTATCTATGTTTGATTTTCCACAATGATGTAAATTTCCAAAATTTTTCATAGAAAAAGATGTAACCTTGCACTGTGGTTTAGTATGGCTCTTATTTTGCACTGTACTAGGTGGTTGAATTTCGCTTTTATTGTATTATGGACATGTGACCAAGCCAAATAAAATTTAAGCATACTTAAATATCTCAAAATAACATTTTATTTAAGAAAAGGTACAGATTTTCTCTGCTTCTGAATGGGTTTTTATCATTAGGGAATGATGGAGACCTTTTGTTACTTTGTCTTGGAAACTTCTGCAAAGTCATTGAATGCTGTCAGTGAATGAATGTTAATGAAAATTCTTGTTAAGGACTCAACATATTTAGGGAGACACGTTTTTTCAGGACTGTTCTACCAAATACCACTTAAAGGAAGAATGCAGAACAAAACACCTGTTGGGAGGGAAGAGGAAGGAAAAGATAACCTAAGGTTTATGCTCTGCACTGGCGCCTTGATACAGTTTGGTGGCAGTATGTGCCTGAAGTTAACATTTGGTTTGATCTGTGTTTCTAGGGTCTAGAGGGTAGTGCATTGAGGAAACATTGTGTGATCTTTATTTCAAGTACATAATTTTAGACTCCTGTTAGCTGCTAGATGTTAGTCTGGTTACAATGTTTACAGTTTACAAATTTTATCATTTTAGTAACATGCTGAAAACTTTAGCTTCAGTTAAAACTTGCTTTGCCGATTTTAACCTGGTGGGTTTTTTTTTTTTTTTTTTTTTTGGTGGTATGGGGGTTTGAACTCAGGGCTTCACACTTGCTAAGCAGGCACCCTACTACTTGAGCCACTCTGCCAGCCCTTAACTTGGATTTATAAAATGAAATTAAGAAGCTTCATGCTCAAGGCCTTGGGTTCAATCCCCACCAACCTGCCTCCCCCCCCCAACAAAAAGCTTTATGAGAAGAAACCTCCTTTGTTATATGTCATATCCATATTTGAAAGGTTCCTATAGTAGCTTAGTGATTTCTGAACAATTAAGTCCAGTACTGATGTTGGTATATTCGAGAAAAATCACAATTAAGTAAACTGGTGGATTCAGTGTTATTAGAATTATAAAATAGCTGATAGAAGAAGTGCAAATTTTATTTTAAGGGATATCTTTGAAGAATTACAAGTTTTTAAGCAAATAGCTTTTAAAAAGAATAAAAATATATACTCCTTAAATTCTGAAAAATAACCACAAAACAAAGAATTACCCTTAGTCCTATGCCCCAAAGATAGCAGCATTTAGTATATTTTTGTTGATATTTATTGTCTTTTGTAACATTTTATATCTTGCTTTTTTTCCCACTAAATGTAAAACATTTTGTCTGATTAGTCTTTTTTTTTTTTTTTTTTGAGGTGGGAGTCTTGCTTATGTTACTGAGGTTAGTCGCAAACCCCTGGGCTAAAATGATCTTACTACCTCAGCTTTGCAAGTGCTGGAACTATAGTAGTGCACTACTGCTTCTTGTCACTCTTAGACATTTTTGATCACTGTGTTATACGTTGTATGACATTCCAAAGTATAATCATCTTGCGTGAGGCTCTAGTTTTTGCTATGAATAATACTATGAGTATAATGGTTGAATCTTTGCATTAAAATTTTTTTCTCAGTCTTTCAGAAGTAGAATTGCTGCATTGAAGGATAAGAACGTTCTGCAAAGTTGTTGATACATATTGTCAGATTGCTACAGTATTTCTTGAAAACAATTTACCCTCCTAATTTAAACCTATCTATATGGACTAGAAACAGAAGAATTTTCAACTATCTGAGTCTTTACTGATAATAAATAGCAGATCTACTTAGGGATTAGGAATTTAATGTTTGTGAAAAGTTTAGTATTCAGTGTTTTCTTCCAGCTCTTGATTTCACATTTAATTTAGCAAGGGTGATAATAAAAGTGGCTGTGTGGATGAAGAAGCAAGAGTAAAACCAAAGTGATGAGAATTTTGATAAATACCAATAGTTTTGGGTAGAGCTTGTGAGAATGGACTAAAAGCAGGTTTTTTTGTGGTCAGGAGAAACCAGGACAGAAACTTAAGTGAAAGTGGGTAATGGATTCAATAAACTTTATAAAGCAGTAATTGCTATACAATGACTCGTTCTGTTTTTGGCTAGCTGTGTATAGGCAACCTCCTTATGGAGGTGAACACTAATGATTCTCTGTGAAACCACACCTAAAGTACTTTACAGGACTGTCTTCCTTTAGGTAACCTAGAATCTAAGATTAAATCAAGGAAGTGGTTTTAAAGAATGGAGGAAAGTAGGGCTACTAGCCTCTTTGCCTCTCCCCCCCCCTTTTTTAAAAGTTGTTATCACTTATAAGATACTAAACAGCATATAATGATTGATCAGAAAACAGGTAAAAAGCCATTGTTCAAAATGTTTAAAAGGCAAGGAAAGAGTAATTTCAGGCAGCCTGTGGCCTGGGTGGTATAGAATAAATTCAAGAGGAAATTTAGTATTATCCAGCCCAAGAAGACATAGTAACAGGTTAGACTTGTACATTTATAAAGTTGGGTGAAAATGAAACGATCTGAATTAATTAATTAATTTTGGTAGTACTGGTGTTTGAATTCAGGGCTTTGGGCTTGCTAGATGGACTCTACCACTTGAGCCATGCCCCCAGTCCTATTTGCCATCTTGGGGAGTCTCTCTGACGTGCTGTCTTCCTGTTTAAACTGCATAGCTGGATCATGGATCATGGGCCACACCACCATTCTGGGCTTATATGTTGAGATGGGATCTTGATAACTTTTTGCCAGACTGGCCTGCCAACAACCATCTTCCTCACCTCTGCCTCCCTAAGTAGCTGGGATTACATGTGTGAACCACTTGCACTTGGCCCTCTGAAATTTTTTAATTTTTAAGAAAGGATTCCTAAAACAACTGTAATTTTTATTTTTTACCTTATTTATTCTTTTTTATAGTACTGGGGATTGAACCCAGAATCTCTCATGTGCTAGACAGGGCTCTACAACTGAGCTAGCATCCCCAGCCCTTTTTTTTTTTTCTTTATTTTGAGACAGGATCTCATTAAGTTGCTCAGGCTGGCTTCAAACTTGTGATCTTCTTGCTTTAGGCTCTGGAGTAGTTGAGTAATTGTAATCTTTTAAAGGTCAGCTGGTAGGTCTCAGTGTTGGACGGTGTTCTTTGACCTTTGCTTATTTTATTTTATTTTTTTTGAGGTACTAGGGATCAAACTCAGGACTCGGCATAATGTATACTAGACGGTCACTTTAACACTGAGCTACACCCTCAGCCCTGCTCTAATTTCTTTGTGGTACTGGAGTTTGAACTCAGGGCTTCATGCTTGCTAGACATTTTATCACTTGAGCCACATACCACCCTAGCTTTAATTTTTAAAAGAATGGTGGATCAGAATAAAATAATTCACTGAGTCAGAACATAGGATTTTATCTAAGATCCAAGCTGTAGAGATTCTCTGTGTGTGTGTGTGTGTGTGTGTGTGTGTGTGATGAGTGAGTGATGCTGGGGTTTGAAACTGGGGCCTTACACATTCTAGGCAAACTCTACCACTGAGCTACATCCCCAGACCATGCCAGACAGACTTTGATTTTGTTGAAGAATGTTTTTTAATTCTTCCTTAAATTGATAGCTTTGATTTTTTTTTTTTTTTTTTTTTTTTTTAGCACTGGGGTTTGAACTCAGAGCCTCATGCTTGTGGGCAGGTGCTCTTACTGCTTGAGCCACTCAGCCAGCAATAGCTTTGATGTTAAAACAGTATAGACAATTGTCTTAAATATTTTGTTATTGTGGCAATTGGTATGTAGCAAGTTGGTATATATTTAGCTGGGTGCTGGTGGCTCGCGCCTGTAATCCTTGCTACTCGGGAGGCAGAGATCAGGAGGATCTCAGTTTGAAGCCAGCCTGGGCAAATAGTTCTCAAGACCCTATCTCAGAAAAACCCACCACTCAAAAGGGCTGATAAGTGGCTCAAGATGTAGGCCCTGAGTTCAAATCCCCTAGTACCTAAAAAAAAAAAAAAAAATATATATATATATATATATATATTTGTATCAAGCAAATGAGAGCACAAATGAAGATATTAGTTGCTTAAATGGTAGGTTTGGAGTAACCTGTATTGAGTTACATGTCTTTAAAAGTTTATCCTATACCTTTTGTTCTGTTTTTGAGACAGGGTTTGGCCGTGTAACCCAGGCTAGCCTCGAACTCAAAATCCTCCTGTCTTAGCCTGCTGGGAGTCCAGGCATCGGCCACCACACACTGCATATCCTACATCAACAGTACATACCTATACCTTTTTAATTTTTTTTAAAGCAGTACTGAGATTTGAAATCAGGACCTTGCAGCTTGGTAGGCAGATGAGCTACCAATTGAACCATGTCCCCAGATCCCTCCCTACACCTTTTTAATGGCTTGGTAGTTGTATTTCTTTAAAAAAGACTTTTGTGGTGTTGGAAGATGGAACCCGGGGCCATTCAGCCTGACAATTACATTTCTTAGTATCTTAAGCTCTATGCTGGGGGTGGCGTCAAACCCAGGACTTGTGCATGCTAATTGCAAGCACTCTACTACTGAGACATATTAACTGAGTCCTATTAACCATTTTTATTTTCAGTTTTCTGGAATAGGATTTCTAATACCAGGATTGTTAAATGTGCTAGGTACAGTGGGTCACGCCTGTAATCCAGCTTTTTGGGAAGTGGAGATGGGGAGGATCATGGTTTGAGGCCAGCCTTGGCAGAAAGCGTGATTGTGGTGGAGTTGCACCTATTATTCCAGCTACTCAGAAGATAGTAGTCTAGTCCTGCTGGGGCAAAAATTTATGGCTCAAGTGGTAAAGCATTTGCCTAGCAAGTACAAGGCTGAATACAAACCCTAGTACCACCAAAAATAAATAAATCATAGATTGTGTTAGCTACAGTAAATACAGTGGAAAATGTAAATTTAGATATTTTGCCCATTTCAGTCATCCTCATCAGATTATTTGGAGATACAGCATTAGACTAATGACTTCAGTTTTACTTGGTAATGTTGGGAAAAGGTAATAAATGAAAGCTACATTAAATGTCATTACAAGGACTAGTACCTTTTGGATGTAATAATGAGAAGACAGAAAAGTAGAAGCAAGATAGTGGGATTGATAAACCTGAAAATTGGATAATTGATCCTTAAGCTTGTGAGATTTGGACATTTTGTCTATATGTGTACAAGAAGAAACTTCCAGAACAGTAAAACTTCTCAGTATTGAGATGGAAACATGTTTCTGAATATGGAATAATGATTATAGAATTCAAAGCAGAGAACACTTGGGCTGGCGGAATGGCTCAAGTGGTAGTGCGCCAGCCAAGCAAGTACAGGACCCTGAGTTTAAACCCCAGTAATACCAAAAAAAAAGAATACTGAGTTTGCTGTGATTGTAAGTAGTAAATGCACATTGTAATAAATTTGGAAAAGATAGTAACACGTAAGGAGAAAAGTCATCTATTGTCCCACTTATCTAGAGATAGCCACTATGTTTTATCTTTTTATAAGATAAAGTATGCACATGCAAAAATATGAATAACTGTATCTGTGGGTTTTGATGTGAAGCATAGTAAAGTTCTCTGGATTGTTAAATTGGTGTTTGCATCATTGTCTATCGTCTTAGGATCCAATTGTCTCCCTACTTCACATATCCAGTATTCTTTCCTTATTAAATCAAGACAAGGTCTTATATTTACTGTTTACATCTCCCTTGTTATCAGTGAGGCCTCACTTTATTGTTAAAACAAGCACGCCTTAAGTCTCATTTCTAATGTGGAGAGAAAAGAATGGTCACCTCCATTAAAGAAGCAGGTCTTCATGATGTTGGCTGGAGAAGGCCACGGTCAACCAGGTGGGGTTTGTATGTTTGTTTATTTTTGGTTTTGTTTCTGTTTCAAATGGGTCTATTTATCTTGACTTTATTCTTTGAGTATGTAGTCATTTGAGGCTCTTGTCATTTTGAAATAATTGATCCTAATACAGTATGTTTGATATCTTTAGTGTTGTTTTAGTTAAGATGCATGTGTTTCTTTATTTCATTGTTTTTGAAGGAACATTTTTTTTCTTTGCATGGCATCTCTGAAATGGGTTTTTTTTGGGAGAGGCACAGTACTGGGGTTTGAACTCAGTGCCTCATGCTTGCAGGCAGGCACTCTACTGCTTGAACTGTAACTCTAGCCCTTTTTGCTTTAGTTATTTTTCTAATAGGGTCTCATTTTTATGCCTGGACCGACCTGGACTTCGATCCTTCTATTTATGCTTCCAGAGTAGTGGGGAGATTACAGACTCATGCTACCACACCCAGCTTTTTATTGGTTGAGACAGATTCTCTCACACTTTTTGCCCAGACTGGCTTCAAACCTTACTCCTCCTGATCTCCACCGCCTCAGTAGCTTTGATTACAGGCGTGAGCCACTTTGCCTGGCTAGGATACTTAATTTCATGACATGTTACAGTTTAAGTGGCTCTTTTCTTAATCATATATAACTGTGGTTCTTGGGGACAGGTTTTTTTTTTTTGTCTTTTTTTTTTGGTGCTGGGATCGAACCCAGGGCCTCACGAATGCTAGGCAAGTGCTGTACCACCAGGCCACATCCCAGCCCAAAATACTTTGGACCCCATTTTTTTCTTTTGTGGTACTGGGATTTGAACTCAGGGCGTCATGCTTGCTATTCAGGCACTCTACCACTTGAGCCACTCAGCCAGCCTATAACTGTGGTTCTTAAAATTTGTGGTGTCACAGATTAGTGAAATGCACTAATTAACAATTCCTATCAGCTGACATCGTGAAACATCTCCCCCACCCCCACCCCCACCCCCCATGGGGGGACTCAGGTCGTTCGCTTGCTAGGCAGGCACTTGTGTTGGGTATTTTCAAGATAGAGTCTCTTGAACTATTTGCCTGGGCTGGCTTTGAACTACAATTCTCCTGATCAGCTAGGATTAAGTGTGAGCCACTGGAACCTGGCTCTGAAACATTCTTGAGGTTTCTATCCCTCTTCCTCTGGTAATGAATTTGATGATCATGTAAATATCTCAGGGTACCATTTTTTGGTTCATAATTAAGGTAAACATTTACGAAGTGCCAGATACTATTCTTAGATACATAGTTTTGTTTGTTTCTTTTGGCAGACTGGAATTTGAGCTGAGTGCTTCATGCTTGCTAGGGAGGTGCTCTGCTGCTTTGGTCACACCTTCAACCCTTTTTGCTGTCTTTATTTTTGAGATAGAGTCTTGCATTTATGCCTGGACCAGTGTGGACTGCGATCCTCCTATTTATGCTTCCCATCATAGCTGGCATGATCGTCATGTTCCACCATACTTTTTCCGTTAAGTCATGTCTGGAACTTTTTGCCTGGGCTGGCCTAGAATGGTGAGCCTCCTGATCTCAGTCTCCTGTGTAGCTGGGATGACAGTCATGAACCATCTGTTTTGTTTTGATGGTGCTGGGGGTTGAACCCATGGCTTCCTATATGCTAAGAAAGCACTCTACTACTGAGCTATAACCCCAGCCCAATACATACATTTTTTTTTTTCAAGTCATAACAATATTGGACCTGGCCAAGTGGCTTTTTTGCTCAGGTACTGAAGAGGCAGAGATTGGGAGGATTGGGGTTGGAGGCCAGCGGGGGCAGAAAAAGTTAGACCCCCATCCCAAGAAACAAGCAGCAAATAAGCTGAGCATGGTGGCACGGGCGTGTAATCCAAGCTACTGTAGGCAGGAAGATCAAGGTCTGAGGTCAGCCCCTAGACAAAAGGACAAAAATGCAAAAAACAGACCCTCTGGAGCTAAATCAAAAAGGGCTGGGTAGTGTAGCTCAAGTGGCCTAGGAAGTGTGAGGCCTTGAGTTTAAACCCCAGAACTGCCAAGTTAGGATTATTATATTCCATAATATGAGGAATTAACTAAAAGTATCAGGCTATTTCATTTATCAAGTGCTAGTATTGACTGTTACACCAAACCATTTTAAAATATAATTTAATCCTTCATGAAATAGATGTTAGAAATTATTTAATCTTAATTAACAAATGAGGAAATTATGAATCAGACAGGTTATTTGTCCAGAGTTACTACATAAGTGTTAAGTGATAGAGCTTGGATTTCAGCTCATGTCTGTATGATCAGTGTTCTCACTACTGATGCCTACAATATTCTAACTTGAGAAACTTGAGTTTTTTTAAAGACGCGTGTGTGTGTGTGTGTGAGAGAGAGAGAGAGAGAGAGAGAGAAGGGGGACAAACCTGGCTTTAGAGGTCTTTTTTTTTTATAATTTATTTTTATTTATTGTCATATTATTGTATTGGGAGTGCCTTGTGACATTTATAAAAGTTCTTAGAATATATCATAGTTGAATTCACCCCCTCATCTTTCTCCTTTCTCCTTCCATCCTCCCCCAGAGGTTTATTTCTGTTCTAGGAGTTTATAAAATAGCTATATAATATGTTTGAAGAGAATAAAATGTTTGATTTCTGTTCTTTTTGCATTTTAAGATGGTGATGGAATTTCCTGACAATGTGTTAAATCTTGATGGACATCAGAATAATGGTACACAACTAAAGCAGTTCATTCAGGTAATAGTTTCTAAAATCATTGTTATCAGTGGTGGCTGTGTATGTTTTAAGAAATAATTTAAAATGTAGCTATAAGATTTTTTTTGGTGGGACTAAGGTTTAGTTCTGAATTAATTTTCTTTTACCTAGGTACTAAGATTGCACTGAAATTGCTTTCATTTTTACTATTGCTGTAGTGAATACAGTTATGTACCTGATTTATGGACTTGGCATGTGAAAGAGTATTGGTGGTGTTGTGTTCACACTTCACATGTCCAAACGATTTTGATTTCACTAAGCCATCATTCCTGGTTTTTAAAGATAGCATGTGCAACTTTTTATTAAGAACTTATTGAGGCTGGTGGTGTAGCTCAGTGGTAGAGTGCTTACCTAGCATTCACAAAGCCCTGGATTTGATCCCCAGCACCACAAAATCAAAACCATTTTTTTTCCGTGTAATTGTTTTGTTCAAGTAAAAAAAAAAAATGTGAATTCTATATTACAAATCTGATTATTATTTAATTCCTGAGAACTAAACTTTATATTCTTAAGTTTACAATATATAGCTAAGATATTAGAAAGTAACTTCTTGGTTTATTTCAGAACTCTATTTCTACTTTTAGAGAAAACTTTGAATGAAAAGTTAATGGTGTAAAAGTGGGAAAATGCTTCTTTGTAATTATTTTACTTTCCTATTTTTGTTATATCTGGAAATATTAATTGTAGCATAACTCTTAATTTCTTCAGGTAGAAGTTACTTACTAGAGTTTTGCCCATTTTTCTACAGCTATGGTTCTCGGTCATTTTTCTACCTTGTCATAACCAACAGATAACATTCATATGCATCAACATGTTAGTTACTCATTGCAGGCTTCTACATAGGTAAGATAGGTCTTGTTCTCTCCTACTAATCTGTAATACACCTGTCCATACCTCCAGGTTGAGAATTGCTGCTCTACATGCTCACCATCCTAATTTGGCTCCTACAGCTAAATGTAGTGTTTTGTTAAAAAAGTTGAAAAGAGGACTGGGGCATGGCTGAAGTGGTAGAGCACTTGCCTGGCAAGCATGAGGCCCTGAGTTTTAAAAAAAAAAAAAGAAAGCTATCATAAACCTGCATCATGAATTTATTCTTTTTTATTTTCTTTCCTATTTTGAGTGATCGTATTAGGCTTAATACTCACTTGACTAGTCCTAAATTTCCAGGTGTAGGTTTTCTTTTTTGCAATGCCAGGGCACGTACTACTTATCCCTGGCATTGTAAGGAGTCCTTTACACCCTAGATTCTAGAACAGCAGGGTTTGTGGCACAAACTGAGTATAGCATGGACATGGCTATACTTTGCCTTTCTGACTCAGTTGCAGATTAAGGTGGCAAGCCCTGCACAGGTTGAACTTTTTGTACAAAGATAGGAGCCAGTAGTGGTGAAAGAATAATTTACTATGTTAAGGATTTGTTTTAATTTTTCTTTCCTCTTTCAGCGACATAGTATGCTTAAGCAACAAGATCTAAGTATTGCCATGGTGGTAACATCGCGTGAAGTCTTGAGTGCACTTTCTCAGCTTGTCCCATGTGTTGGTTGTCGTCGCAGTGTGGAGCGTCTCTTTTCCCAGCTTGTAGAGTCTGGAAATCCTGCCCTTGAACCCCTGACAGTAGGGCCCAAGGGAGTCTTATCTGTAACTCGAAGCTGCATGACTGATGCAAAGAAGCTTTATACATTATTTTACGTACATGGGTAAGTGTAATTAAGTAGGAGAAATGGTTTTGTTATTTATTTTTTTTTGGTACTGGTGTTTGAACTCAGGGTCTTGACCATGAGCCGCTCCACCAGGTTTGTGAAGGTTTTTTTGAGATAGGGTCTTGCAAACTATTTGCCCAGGCTGGCTTCAGACCTCTATCCTCCTGATCCTTGCCTCCTGAGTAGCTAGGATTACAGGCATGAGCTACTGGCACCTGGCTTGTTGCTTTTAAATTACTTGGTGACAGTGATAGCATTTTTCCTAAATTTGGTTGGGCAAAGATTGAGTCCAGTTAAACAGTTTTATTGAGTAATTTCTAGTTTCTACTCTCATGTGGAAAGGGATACAATAAGCAAATATATAATTTTTCAGGTATAAGTTACAAAGAAAAACCAGTAATGGGGATAGCGAATGAGTGGATAGAATTAATATGAAGGGTAGTCAGGGAAGGCCCTTTTGATAAAATGACATTGGGTATGGACTCTAGTGAAGTGAGTGAGGGAAGCATGTAGATACCTGGAAGAAGGCAGAGAAGGAATAGCAGGCACAAAGATTAGAGGTTGACATTTTCTTGGCATGTCTTAGGAACAGCAAGGAAGCTATTATGACTGGAGCTAGATGAGTGAAGGGAACAGTAATGAAAGATGAGATCAGAAGAGTAATAAAAGGAGCCATTTGTGATGGCACACACCTGTAATCCCAGCTACTCAGGAAGCTAAGGCAGGAGGATCGGGAGTTCAAGTCTAGCCTGGGCTACATAGCGAGACCCTATCTCAAAATATAAAGGACTGGGGATATAGCTCAGTGGTAGAGTGCTTGCTTGTCTTGGTATTGGGAAGCACTGAAAGAGAAAAAAGAGAAATGATGAAAGGTCCAATCATGAATTGTATTATAAATCATCCTGAGGTCTTTTGTTTTTACTCTGAGTAGGTGGGAATCTTTGAAAGGTTTTCAGTAGATGAGTAACATAGTATGACTTAAAGTTTGACTTACTATGATCTCTGTGTTGAAAATAAAATGAAGGGGGTGCAAGGGCAGGGGTAGAAGCAGAGAAACCAGCTGTATTTAATGATCTGTGGGAGAAGTGATGGGTGACTTGGACTAACATGGTGGTCATGGAGGTAGTGAAAAATTGTAAGATTTTGAGGAATGAGCCAACAGGATTTTTGTATAGATTGATGATTCTTAGATTTGTGGTCTCAGTCCGTTTACTGAAATTGGCAGGACTGAGAGGAACAGTTTTTCAGAACTCACTTTTGGATGTGTTAAGTTTAGGTACCAATTTGGCATCCACATACAGTTAGGAGAGATGGCCTAGAACTTTAAATTTGTGGCCTAGAGCCATAAATTTGTGTCATTTAGTAAGGATAAATAGGAAAAGAAGTCTGAAGACCAAACCCTGAAGCTCTTCTGTCTGGAGGTGACGGTAAGGACTTTTGCCTGAGAAAAGAAGTTTTGGAGGGTTTTTGAACAGAGGAATAACATAATCTGATACTGTGCTTTAAAAGAATCACTCTAGCTGCTGAGTGAAGCTTAGAATAAAAAGGAAAAAGGTGGCAGCCAGGAAGCATTTAAGAAGCCAACTGTTGGCAATTCTATTGCAGTTGACTAAGTTAGAGATTGATGGGTTGGGCAAAGGTGATAAGAAGTGATAGAAAGGCTGGCAGAGTGGCTCAGGTGGTAGAGTGCTTGCCCCTAGCAAGCATGAGGCTCTGAGTTCAAACTCCAGTACTGCCAAAAAAAAAAAAAGATAGGATTCTAGATATATTTAAAGTTAGTTGATAAGCTTTGCTGATTAGTTGGATATAGGGTATATGTAGTAGCATTAGATATTTTATATTGCATTAAATTTCTTTTGATGGCTCCTCATCAAGGATATTATGTATTTAGGAAATATTTGAGCAAGGGAAGATGATGGCTAGGATTCATGTAACAATCACTGAAATATTGGAGTGCCAGGTATACTGCTAGATCCTGGATAAGTGAGACATAGACAATCTTGGAAAAGAGCTCATTTTTTCAATATTTTAACAGACTAGGAAAGGGAAAATAAATAAATAGACACTTTTGGGGTAGAATTTGAGAAATTTTCAGAGTAGGTGATGTGTCTGTAATACTTTACACATCTCATGAAAAGACAGTAAATAGAGATTTTTAAAATTTGAAAGAAAAATGACTGTTAATTAAGCCTTTAATGGTTGATTTTTTAATAGGTCCAAACTAAATGACATGATAGATGCTATTCCAAAAAGTAAGAAGAACAAGAGATGTCAGTTGCACTCCTTAGATACACACAAGCCAAAACCTTTGGGGTAAGTAGAATTGAATGCCAAAATGCTTCACCATTATTAAAATTATAAATGTTAATCATATTTAGTAAAAAGAATAAATACATTGCTAGCTTTAGTTGGTTGCACTCTAAGTCAAAATAAATATTTCCCCTGGTGCTGTAGGCTTTTTTGCATTCAGAATATGTAGGGTCTGTAGATTTGCTTTTTAAGTCTTTTTTCCTTATATTAAATATGTTTTAGAAGGAGATTGAGATTTTTGTATAAGCTTATATACCTAATGTTAAGGTTCTCAGTGTAGTGATCTATAGCTGCAATGTAAAAATTATTTTTGTCTTTCTTGTTTCTAGGTCTCCCTAATAATTTACTTATAGGATCTTAAAAAAAATTAGAAAGCCTTGAATCAGTTCTGGAAATGTATATTTATGTAACTAATTTGCAGTTTTCTTCCTGGTTATGTGCTGTACTGTCCAATGCTGATTTGCCCCATCTCCTGGCATAGTGCCACAGTTGTCTCTTACAGAATCGCTTGGAGGGTAGGGTGGGCATGACAAGGAGAAGCCATGGGGAAAAACATATATATATGTGCATTTATATATTTTTGGTATTACTGGGGATTGATCTCAGGGCCTAAAAATTGCTAAGGAAGCACTCTAAACTTGAGCCATGGCCCAGTACAGAGCCATGTGATATGAAGGGAGTTTCTAAGAAGTAACTTTTGTTTTGGAGACACTAGGATGATAAAAAACTATACTTCTGAGTTAATTTTTGAATATCTCAATATCATTGGCACCAATTTATCATGAAACCTATCAAACACAGAAGTAGATTATACAAGTAGACTTTTTTTTTTTTTTTTTAAATGTGGTCTTGCTGTGTTGCCCAGACTGGTTTCAAATTCATGCATTCAAGTGATCCTCCTACCTCAGACTCCTGCGTACAACTAGAGACTATACAGTGACTACACAGTGACTCTCCCCATCCTCCCATGTATGTTTTTTTTTTTTTTGGCAGTGCTAGAGTTTTTACTCAGGGCCTTGTGCTTGCTAGATGGGTGCTGTAGCACTTGAGCCAGTCTGTCATCTCTGAAGTGTTTTAAAGCAAGTTAGAGACATCATGTTATTTTACTCCTACATACTTCCATATGCATCTGTAAATATAAGTACTTATTTTTCGTAACCACAATGCAATTACAAAACCTAACAAAATTAACTATGATCATCTGATACTTAGATTTTTCTTATTGTTAAATGTCTTTTTACATTGGTCTATTTGAATCAGGATCCAGACAAGAACCACATATTGCATGATACCTAAACTTGGGAGTACTCTGAAACCAACAGAGTTGGTTTAGATTTGGTTTAGTTGGTTTAGTTCTGTATAGCCTAAAGTAGCTCCTAAGGAAATTATTATTTCACATTCTTGATTGATTATATTCTTAGAGAAGTCTTCACTCTAAATGCAGAGTTCAGTCTGATTTTCTCATTAAAAAATGACCTGTTGGGTGAAGGCACAGAGTAGTATGGTGTAATAAAAAAAAAAAAAAAAAAAAAAAAACCTGCCTTCTATTTTTTTGTTTCTTTGTTTTTTGGCCAGGGATTGAACCCTGGGCATTGTGCATGTTAGGCAAGTGCTACACTTCAGCCCCTTCATGCATATTGTTCATTGAGAAACTTAAATAAAAGCAACATGTATCCCTACCCCTACCTCTACATCTTAAGCATCTGTACTCATTGCTGCCTTTAAAGACCATTCCTTCCAGTTTTGCTCAGGATCCCATCTACTGTCATTCTCCAGTAGATAACTGCTTTGTCAGTTACTACTTTTATTTTATAAATAACTGTGTTCTCCTATCTTTCAGTTTATAAACAAAAATCAAACCTCCACAGACTTGACATTCCCCTCAAGCTATAACCTCACTACATAGGACATCACATGTTTTTAGAAGGTTATTCTCTGAGTATGGAATCAGTATGAATGGAGTTAGTTGATCTTAAGCAGTGTTTCTTAACTAAGATAGCTTCAGTTATTCCTACATGTTATGTGACTAGCAGGTCAGTGAATAGTTTAGTTACGATATCCTCTCAACCTTGGATGGTTACCACCATTGTATGCTACTATGACTCCTCATTTTATATATTTCCACTGTTTTACTCCCTCCCCTGCCTTTTTAAATTTAAACAATCTCTAAGGAAAATATAATACATTAGGTTTCAGCCTAATAAATAGTAACAATCCTGGTCATCTTTTCTGAGAATGTTCTCATATCCATGTAAGTAAATCCAGGTTATTGTCTGGGAGTAAGTTTGAAATCTGAGAGAAAGGTCTAGGCATGTAGCTGACATTAAGGATTATTTTAAGGAGAGATATATAAAGTCACCTAAAGGGAAGGAGTAGACGAAGACAAAAGAATGCCAAGGAATTCATTTTAATTATGGAAAAGAAGCAGCTAGTAAAGTGTGGCCAGATAGGTAGGAGGAAGCCAAGGTAAAACAGTGCTTCAGGGAAATGTGGTTAGCTTATGTTGAATGTTCCTGAGTCATCAAGAGCCCCAAAATGGATACTGAATTTAGCAATGCTGAGATAATTGGTGATTGTAATGAGCAGAGCTAGTTGTTGAGTGGAAGCAAATGACAAATTGTGGTGGGTAAAGAAGTGAATTAAATGTAAGATTGTAATGGATTGAACTGTGAATGGTAAGTGCAGGAGCAAAACAAGGAAGTGGAAAAGACTTTTTTTAGGAAACGTGATCTTTTTTTTTAATTGAAAGTGATAGTAAAGTTATTAGGAAAGGAATACATTTGCACCTGGTGTGTGTGTGTGTGTTCTGGGTTTGAATTCAGGGCCTCACATTTAACTAGGCAGGTGTTCTACCACTTGAGCCACTCTGCCAGCCCTTTTTTGTGTTAATACATTCGAGATAGGGTCTCTAACTATTTGCCTGGTTTGGCTTCAAACTGTAATCCTTCTGCTCTCTGTCTCCTGAGTAGGTAGGATTCCAGGTGTGAGCTACTGCTGCTGGCAGAAAGCTTAATCTTGAAGGAATCATGAAGGCATAAGGCCTAAATACATTATGGGTTGTATTTGAGCTATAGGTCATTCAAGCATAAATATAAAAAAGAGGAACTATGAGAATTGAGGATAGACTATAACATGGAAGATAGAATAGGAGTTGAGGTTTGGGGTTTGGGTTTTTTTTTTTTTTTTTTGTCAAAAGTAGGTGGAGCTGAACTTTGGCTTGAGCCCTTGTGAGAAGGATTAGGGGGCTGAATTAAATGTACGTCCTTATATGGAGCTACAGGTTGAAAAATACCTCTTACCTATATAGAGAGAGTAGATGAAAGACTCAGAGGTTTTTCCATTTCAAGCATGTAGGGCAGTAAATTTTTAGGACTCATAATGAAACCTGCAGAAGAATAGACAGGAACCAGTTTTTCAGAATAATGAAAAATTGAGAAGATTATCCTTGAATGGAATATAGATATATTTCTCTTGGAATGCACATCTGCAATAAAGCAGTGCATGACCAGCGCCACATTGAAAACAGTGGGGGATGGGAGAGTCTGGGAAGTTTTTAGTAAGTTTAAAAACATTATATAGTATTTATTACTCAGGCTATGTAAAGTATTCATTCTAGTGTGCTATCTTTATTTTAGTAAATGTAAAGATTATTTACTATAATTAGATTAATTTGTGACTTTCCCAGCTACATGTTAAATGTGAAGGTAGAAAATAATTTTTTAAAGCCCTTTTGGTTTTAGAACATTCCTTTGTTTGTAAAATGGTCAGTATATAAGCCAATTGCTACCTCAATAACTAAATATTACTAAATAAAACAAGTAAAGTTGATAGTCAAGTAGAAGCTTGATGTGAACATATTTTGATAACATTTTAATATGGTTAAGTATGTAATCATTATACAGATTTGTAGATTTATCCTACTAATATCTTAATATGTTAAAAGAGTTAATGTTTTAATTTAGAGTGTAGAAATTATTCCTTAAGATTATCTCAGTTTCACTAAGCTTTGTACTATACTGTACTGCAGTGAAGGGAGCAGTAGCAGTGTCAGTTCAGAGAAGTTAAGTACAGATAAGAGAAGTAGTGAAGACCACAGGAAGGACAGCAAGTGTAGGATCATTTTCCATTATGGACCTTTCCAGGGAACAGCCAGGTAAAATCAAGCAATCCTTTATTCTGCCTTTTTAAATCTTTCACTCCTATATATTTCTCCTTCTCACTAATATTTATTCTTTTTGCAGGGGTTGTTGGATGGATGTATGGGAACTTATGTCCCAGGAATGCAGGGATGAAGTAGTTTTAATTGACTCTAGTTGTCTTTTAGAAACACTAGAAACATACCTGCGAAAACACAGGTAAGTCTAAAGGTCATTGTGGTGTAGTGTGGAAAGTGCCTTAGCTGTCAGTCATCCAGAGTGGCCTGTCCCTGACTTTCTCTGTGTAATTGTACTCTAGCCTTACTATTAATACCTGACACTAGGCTGAGCTTATTGTCAGAGTAGGCAGTTCCTTTGGATGATGCTCAGTGTTAGCCTTCTTGTTTGAACTACTATCTCTTTTCTTGAAATTTTCACCTATTTGTTCCAGATCATCCGTTCAAGAAATGCACATTGACTGAGTCAATCCAAGTATACTTATGACTTTGGAAATTGTAATACTCCTTGTTTTTATTATAGAATCATTTTATGATGGCATTTTCAAAATGAAAGCTAAATTAGCAGTTTTTCCCTTCATAGTATATTGAAGTATTCTGTAATTGTTTATCAAGACCGTAAGATACAGTTGGAATTCATGTGCTTCGTGTACTATAAAAGTAACTTCAGATTTTTCTTTTTAGAATACTACTTTTACAAAGGAATTTTCTAAGTGTCATTAACATTTGGAAATTCGTAGGGAGGGAGAGTGCAGTAGGAAAGGAAACTGGTAAGGGAGCCATCTAGAGATGGCATTCTTGGAGGGGGGGGAGTTTTGTTATAAGTTTGTCACATGTTGATTTTGTGGTTATGTGTTCTTTTACTGTGGGATAAATACAACTTTGGGGACCTCTAAAAAATACAGGTGAATGTTAAAAATTCGTGTTAACAAGATTGGCATTTGTTTAATATGACAATGAGCTAATAACCTACCAAGTTCATTTATTTGTATGACTTTAAACTTTCTCATCTATTTGTCTGTTTGGTTGTACCTCAAAAAGTAAAGAATGTGTCTATTTGGATTTGGAGGGGCCTATATATACATAAAACATATCCTTTTTCTTTAAATATGAATTGGTTCACCCAAAACAGAGTACTGGGGGTATGATAAACTCCTAATCAGGAGCTAAGGTTTTGGAGTTTTCTGCATTTGGGGGCAGTGTTTTATATTCATAAAAAGGTAGAATCCATTTTATAAATACCTTAAAAATGGGAAGAAGTATGTTAAGAAAGTAACATGGAATCTGAGTTCTAACCATTATAACTTTGTGCAAATTACTTAATGTTTCTGTGCCTTAGTTTTTCTCTTAAGACAAAAATAATAGTATAGATATGATAGGATTCATTTTAGATTAAGTTAAATTTATGAAGATTGGTGATATGTGGTAAGATTTACTTCGGATTGGATCTGAAAATGAAATAAGTATATCAGAGAATGTTTACATGCCAGATTTACAGATCCTTATCATTCTTTGTAACTCTTGTTTCAGGGACAGTTTGAGTTTTTGAAGTACAATCATTTTTAACTGATTTCTGAATGTCTAAATGATATACCTTTTTGGCAGTGTCTTGTTTTTTTAAGCACTTTATGATGAAGATTTAGCTACATCATTTAAACAGTATTGGTAGTACATCATTAGCAATGAAGAATTAGGAAATTAAACCCTGCCTTTTTTTTTTTTTTTTTTTTTAATGCATGTGCAGTGTTAAACTTTCATCTTAGGGTTTTCCTTTTTTTTTTTTTTTTTTTTTATGGTATTTGTGATGAGCCCAGGACTTGAAAAATGTGAAAAAGTATTTGTTGTTATTTTTGTGTTCTACGTCCTTGCCAAGGGGGAAATTTTCCTTTTCTTTTTTATTGTGATAATAGAACATAATTACCCTCTTAACAATTTTAAGTGTACATTACAATATTGTTAATTATTTGTGTATGGTATAAAAGATCTCTAGAACTTTTTCATCTTACATAATTAAAACTGTACCTCTTACTCAATCCCTGGCAATTTCTTTACCAGTAAATCCCTTTACTTTTCTTTTTTTTTTTTTTTTTTTTTGTGGTATTCGTGTTTGAACTCAGGGCCTACATCTTTTGCCACTCCACTAGTTCCTTTTTTATGTTGGGTTTTTTTGCCTGGCCTACTTCAAGCCATGATCCTCCTGATCGCTGCCTCTTAAGTAGCTAGAATTACAGGTGTGAGCCACTGGTTCCTGACCTCATTTTACTTTCTGTTTCTATGAGTTTGATTATTTGAGATACTTCATATAAATAGAATCAGATAGTATTTATTTGAATTTTTTTTTTGAGACAGGGTCTCACTGTGTAGCCTAACTGGTCTCAAACTCACACTCCTCCCCCCTCAACTTTTGAAATATAGTATTTGAATTTTTGTGATTGACTTATTTCACTTGGCATAATGCCTTTAAGATATATCCATGTTGTAACATATGATAGGATTTCCTTCTTGTTTTTTATCCTGTTTTTTAAGAGACAGGGTCTTGCTCTGGCTCATGCAAACATCGAATCCTGGACTCAAGTGATCCTGCTGCCTTGGTGTCTCAGATAACTGGCACTATAGGCGTGTACCACTGCACCTAACTCACTCACTCACACTCTCTCTCTCTCTCTCTCTCTCTCTTTCTTTCGCTTTTTTTTCTTTTTGCAATATCAGGATTTGAATTCAGGACTTTGCACTGAGTAGGCATATTACTGCTTGAGCCATGCTTCCAGCCATAGCTGGAATAATGTCTCATGTATATCAAACACATTTTCTTAATTCATCCATTGATGGACATTTAGATTGCTTCCATTTCTTGGCTCTTGTAGAGCTGTTGTGAACACAGATCTACAAATATCCCTTTTACAGTGTGTGCATCTGTGTGTGTGTGCGCACACCTGTGTTTGTCTCTATCATGTCTATCATAAGATAGTTTTTTAATTTCTATTTCCATACTGGTTTCTTTTTTTTCCTTAACTTTTTTTAGCTTAAGTAATAAAAATTTATTGAGAATTCCTGGGTCCATACTGGTTTTATAGTGTTTTACATTTTAAATTCCTACCAACAGTGTACAAAGGTTCTGATTTCTAGATGTCCTCGATAGTGGCCATCTTAATGAGTATGCAGTAGTACTTAATTATGGTTTTGATTTGCTGTTCTTTGATAATTAAAGATGTCAAGCCTCTTTTCATTTGCTTATTGGCCATTTGTATATCATCTTTGGAGAAATGCCTTTTCAATTCCTTTGCCTGTTTTTTTTTTTCTTTAGATAATTTTTTTTTGATAAGGGGAGCTGGGGATGGAACCTGAGGGCCTCATGCATGCTAGGCAAGTTTGATGAAATTCCTTTTGTCTACTTTGCTTTTGTTAACTGTACTTTGATGCCATATCCAAGAAATTATTGCCCAGTCCAGTGCCCTTATGTTTTCCCCCTATTTTGTCTCATAGAAATTTTATTACAGTTTCAGGTCCTACGTCTAGGTCTTCAGTCCATTTTGAGTTAATTTTTGTATAGTTCATTTTTAAACATTAGTGAAATATAATGATTTGCTGTTACTTGTTGACATTATTGCCTCTGTTTACCCAGTGGGCTTAGAGCATCTAATTTAACATGTTCATTTAAAGAAACACTGTTATCTACTATTGGGCTGTAAAGACATGTGTACATCAAAATAATGCATGTGAGTTATAAGAATAAATACTACAGTAAGACCGTCAGAAATAACAGGCACTGGACTAGGGGACACACACCTGTATTCTCAGTTGTTCCCGGCTACCCGGGAAGTGGAGGCAGGATTGTTTGAGCTCAGGAGTTTGGGAACAGCAAGACTTTGTCTCTTTATTTAAAGAAAAAAAAAGATACACTAAAAACAGTAATAATGTAATGCAGAGGACAGCTTTTAAGCTGAGAAAGATTTGTTGTAGAAAAATTATTATCATTTTTTTGGCAGCACTGGGTTTGAATTCAGGGCCTAACACTTGCCAAGCTGGCACTCTTAATGCTTGAGCCACTCCACCAACCCTTTTTTTTTTTTTTTTTTTGTGGTAGGTTTTTTTGAGATAGGGGTTTTCAAACTGTTTGTCCGGGTTGGCTTCGGAGCTCGATCCTCCTCATTTCTGCCTCCTGAGTAGCTAGGATTATAGGTGTGAGCCCAGCGGTGCCCAACTAGAAAAATTATTTTGTTGTGAGATGCATTAGTGCTAGAAAGAGTTGGCTGTTTGTGTATCATCTTTACCAAAAAGGCTATTTGAGTCCTTTGTGGGTTTTTGTTTGTTTGTTTGTTTGTTTTTTGGGGGGAGTGTAATGAGGTTTGAATTCAGGACTTCTTGCTTGGTAGGCAGGTACTTTACCACTTGTGCCATACCCCGAGCTCTCCTCTCTTTTGTAATTTTTATGTTATTTCTTCTTTCTACCCTGTTAGGCTTTTAAAAACAGTCTAGGCAACTTAAACCAGGGCAGAGAGAATTGAAAAGAAGATACCTACAAGAGATTTAAGAAAAAAACAATTTTTAAAAATTGGCTCCATCTTTAATATGGCACCTAAAGAGAATGATGATGTTCTTAACAGGGATTAGGAGAGGACGTAAGACAAGAACGGTGTTACCCTGGGACATGAAGTTTAAGGTGTTGCCTATGGGCATCTTTGATGTCTCACCATTTTTCAATGTGGCTCTTACCCTCAGGCAAGAGCAGAGGCTCTCTTCCCCCCCCCCCCCCCCCCCCGCCATCCCCCACTGGGTTTTGAACTCAGGTCTTCACACTTGCTAGGCAGGTGCTTTACTGCTTGAGGCATTCAAGCAACCCAAGAGGAGAGTCTTGAGCAGTTATTGAATCAAGTCATCTTTTTTTGAGGGGCGGGTATAGGGGGGGGTTAATGGGTTTTGAACTCAGGGCCTTGTGCTGGCTAGGCAGACACTCTACCACTTGAGCACACACCTACTCTTTTTTTTTTTTTTTTTTTTGCTTTAGTTATTTTTCTGGTTAGGGATCTCACATTTTTGCCTAGGGTCAGCCTGGGTCCTTGATCCTCCTACCTCTGCCCCACAATAGCTGGGATTATATGTGTGACCACCATACCTGACTTATTTGTTGAGATGGGGGTCTCACTAACTTTTGCTGGGGTTGGCCTTGAAGCATGATCTTCCTGATCTCTGCTTCCAAAGTAGATGCGATTACAGGTGTACACCACCACACCCAGCCATGAGTCATCTTTATAGATATGTTGATTGATGCCATGGGAGTAGATGAGTTCACATGGGAAATGAATTTAAATCAGTGAGAGTCGAATTTTCCTTGTTCTAGCATAACCGATTTTCATAGACAGCCAGTTAGAAACAGTTTAAGCCTGAATTTTTTACTAAACCACATTTTTGATTATTGCAGGGATTCAAAGATCAGGCAGGTTCTGCTGGGTGTGGTGGTAGCTGAGGCAGCATCATTGTGAGTTTGAGGCCAGCCTGGGTTACATAGCAAGACTCCATCTCAAAAATAAGTAAACCAACAATGACAACAAGAAAAAACAGGGTCTGTTCTTTAAGTTTGATAAATGTAATAAATGAAAGTTTCTTCTTTCTCTAAATTTATAAAATTTTCTGTATTTTCACCACATTATATACACTCCAGTTTAAAACAGATTTCTATGTATATGTTGTCTATATTATGTCTGTGCATTGAGTAAGTAACATGTAGTTTTTGGAAAAAAATTGGCAGTTTGGAAATTACCAGAATGTTAAACAATACATGTTTCATTATTCTCTCCATCCCTGTCCCCACTTCCAAATGCTTAACTGGGGATGTGCTAAATGTTGTAGTGAGAATTTGAATTAAAGTTTACTGGCTGAAGACACTGTTTTCAGAAGTGGGAAGGAGAGGGAACTTAGCTAAGAGGCCTTGGTTTGTTGCTTCTGTTTTATTTCTGATCTGTACAAATAGCTCTTGAAGTAGAGATATAGTAGTCCTTGGCAACTATTGTTTTGTGGACATGTATTTTATTAAATAACAAATATTTATCTGCCTGGTTCTTTAAGGCCAAAATAACTTCCAAGTGACAAATTAGCTATGTTTATGTAATACCTAAATATGTTTTATCTTACATGAGTATGCTTTTGTTTTGTTTGTTTTTTTGGGATGGGATCTTGCTATGTTGCCCAGGCTGGCCACAAACTCTTAGAGTCAAGTAACCCTCCTGCCTCAGCCTCCTGAGGCTATACAGGCGTGTGCCAATGCAGCTAGTCATATATATACTTACAATATGTGTATGGAGGCTTCTTTTTTTTTCCTTCAAAAAAACACTCTAGATAGGAGGGGATTGCCCTCATGTAGTATACTGTTATTTGCTGCATGAAATAATTACACAACCAGTTCTTAATTTTGAGGTTTTTCTTTTCAACAGGTTTTGCACTGATTGCAAAAATAAAGTCCTCCGAGCATACAATATTCTTATTGGTGAACTTGATTGCAGCAAAGAAAAGGGCTACTGTGCTGCACTTTATGAAGGCTTGCGGTGCTGTCCACATGAACGACACATACATGTTTGCTGTGAAACAGACTTCATTGCACATCTTTTGGGTCGTGCTGAGCCAGAGTTCGCAGGAGGGTATGAGTATGTAGTTTGCTAGAATGGGCTATCTAGCGCTTTGCTTCATTTATTACCGAAAGTTTATTTTCATCACCTCTGTCTCTGTACATACGCTGTATGTATAAATTGAAGTGTGTTTATAATGTGTTTTCTTACTTGACTGAGTGAAAATATGGAGAAACTGTTCTCTGGTGTTTGGTTTGGTCCTCTGCTCCTTCTTGCTTGAAGGGAGATGGGCTTTTTGTTGGTTTTCATTATAATAGGTTATCATTTTCATTTGAAAATGATTACTAGGAATTTTTCTTCATCCATGCATTAGCATGTTTAGGTTTTATTCACAATAATAATTTTTGCATAGAAATGAGATCTTTGCAGCAGGGGTTTAAGAAATGCTTTATTGAATGTAATTCATGAACTGTATGTATTATATAATTAATAAGAGACTCTAAAATGTCATCTCTGAAAACTAAATCAGAAAAAAGTTGTTTATAGAATAAATCATTTCCCCTTATGTTTTATGTATCTGTGTATCAGCTCTCATTTGAGTGTCTACTTTCAGCTATGTATTTTAGAATTCAGAGACCTCATTCATTATGTAGTGTTATGAGCACTTCTACTAGAGGGCTTTTGCCTATGATTGAGTCACCTTGGCATTGCCTTTCTTCATTCTCTTTCAAAGCAAACCAACCGACCAAACAAAAAAATGGAAATTTTACTAAAATTGAAAAGTAAAAGGAATTGTTATATCTATTCTAAGGTAGACACATGATTTCTCTAGGCCTTGAAACCCATCTCTTTAGAGTCAGTTCCTGAATTACCATGTTTTTGGCAATTTATTAGAAGTCAATTGTACTTGCATGTTTATTTCTCATTGGTTATATATGTGCATGCTTATATATATGTAATTGATTATAAATATATAGCTGACTTATTAGGTAGGTAGATTCTGTTTAATATCAACTTGCAGATGTATTATGTGATTTGTTCTTCTGTATAGGCGAAGAGAAAGGCATGCTAAGACAATAGATATTGCTCAAGAAGAGGTTCTGACCTGCTTGGGAATTCATCTTTATGAAAGGCTACATAGAATCTGGCAAAAACTACGAGCTGAAGAGCAGACATGGCAGATGCTTTTCTATCTTGGTGTTGATGCTTTACGTAAGAGCTTTGAGGTAAGAACAATGGGTTGCATCTGTAGTTAAGGTACTACACTGAATCTTAAACTACCAGTGCCCTAGAGACCTGTGATCTGATAAACGTGACTTTGGGTGGAAGGGGCTCTGGGGAGGTGAGATTTAAGTTTTTGGATTTTTCTTTCATTTTTTAATCCTGTTACTCTTCCCAGCTTGGTTTTTAGGTTTTGTCAGAGTAGAAAGCTACAGTTGCTGATTAAAAAGATGTTACTATACCCAGGCACCAGTGGCTCACACCTGTAATGCTAGCTACTTCAGAGGCTGAGATTGGGAGGATGACGATTCAAGGCCAGCCCATATAGATAGTTGGAGAGACCCCCATCTCCAAAATAAACGGAACAAAAATGGACTGGAGGTGTCACTCAAACAGCAGAGTGCCTGCTTTATAAGCGCAGACCTGAGTTCAAATCCCAGTCCCCACAAAAAAAAGGATGCTACTGTGAAACATAACTAATGAAAAATTAAAAGTAGCCTAAAAAGTAAGCAAATACAGTATGCATGCCATGACAGAAGAACTGCTTTTAGGCATTGAGAGTATGGTTCAGTGGTAGAATGTTTTTGCAGTATGTACAAGCAAGGCCCTGGGTTCAATCCCCAGCGCTGGGGGGAGGGACATGCATGGGGTAGAGGACTACATTTAGAAGCACATTGAAAACTCTTTATAATGCTACTATTGGGTCTAGTACTTAGCATTTGGTAACTTTTTTCAATTATATTCTTAGAAGATAGGTACTTGGCTACTGAATATTTTGTATTACCAAACTATGGTTGTAACCCTTTTATGGGGTTGCCAGTCCCTTTGAAAATGGGATAAAAGCTTTTTCCAGAAGTCCACCCATGTACTTCAAGCACTCTGTTCTGGGGAGTCTGAGATTTATACTAGTTTTTAGTGAACAGAGTTTTAAAATTTTTCCCTTTGAATGTTTGTGCCTTCAGAGATTAGGTCATCTAATCAAGTTAGCTAGTTTTTTCATTATGTGAGGAAATGAGTTAATCATTTATTCTGCTATGTTAAAATTCTGAAATTGAAAAGCAGAATATTGCCAGTGTGGTGGCACATGCCTGTAATCACAGCCTTTAGGATGCTGTGGCAGGAGGATCAGGAGTTCTAGGCCAGCCTATGCAAATCAGTGAGAGCATGTCTCAAAAACAAATGAACCTGAGCACCAGCGGCTCACACCTGTAATTCTAGCCACTTGGGAGACAGAGATCTGGAGGATCATGATTTGAAGCCAGCAAATAGTTTGTGAGACCCTATCTCAAAATATACCCAACCCAAAACAGAGCTGGAGGAGTGGCTGAAGCTGTAGAGTGCCTATCTAGCAAGTGTGAAGCCCTGAATTCAAATCTGAGTTCCACCCCAAAAAAACTCAAAAATAATAAAATGGCTGGAATGTATTCCCCAGTGGTCCTGAGTTCAATTTCCAGTACTACAATAATAATTAATTAAAATAATTAATTATATGTGTATATGTGTTCCCCGCCACACACCCCATAGGGACTAGTTGTATATTGACGTCGCAAGTGGATTTTTTGTTTTTGGTTTTTTTTTTTTTTTTTGGTGATATTGGGGTCTGAACTACTCAAGGCTTTGTGCTTGCAAAGCAGGCACTCTACCACTTGAACCACATTCTCAGTCCATTTTGCTCTGGTTATTTTGGAGATGAAGTCTCATAAACTGCTTGGGCTGCCCTCAAACCATGATCCTTCAAATCTCAGCCTCCCAAGTAAACTAGGATTACAGGCATGAGCCACCAGCACCTGATTGAGTAGATTTTTAAGACTGTTATTATTTAAGATATTAAACTGTGTTTTAATTTTGGGTTCTATCCTCATCACTACAAAAGGAAAAAAAATAATAAAACTTAAGATTCTTGGCTCATGCCCATAATCCTAACTACTTGAGAGGCAGAGAGAGGACAGATTGTGGTTTGAGGCCAGACTAAGTAAAAAGTCCACAAGACCCCATCTCAACCAATAAAAAGCTGGTGTGATGTTTCATACCTGTCATTCCAGCTATGTGGGAATTGTAAATATGATTGTGGTCCAGTCTGGCCCAGGCACAAAAGCAAGATTCTATTAAAAAAAAAAAAGTAACCAAAGCAAAAAGTGCTAGGAGCATGGCTTAAGTGATAGAGCCATTGCCTGGCAAGTGCAATGAGTTCAAACTCCAGTACCACAAAAAAAAAAAAAGAAAGAAAAAGGAAGTTAAAAAAAAAAAAAAACCCTTAAGATTCTTTATGAGGATATCTATGAAATTGCAGCATGAAATATTATTTGGATGTATGTGATACCATTTCAGTTTAACAAATAAGAATTCCCATGGAAAAATAAAGGAAACCATGACCAGTATTCACTTTCGGCTTTGTTTTTATAATAGATGACTGTGGAAAAAGTACAGGGTATTAGCCGCTTAGAACAACTTTGTGAGGAATTTTCAGAAGAGGAACGTGTAAGAGAACTCAAGCAAGAAAAGAAACGCCAAAAACGGAAGAACAGACGAAAAAACAAGTGCGTGTGTGATATTCCTACTTCCTTACAAACAGCAGATGAAAAAGAAGTAAGCCAAGAGAAGGTAATACTGCTTAATATCAACTCTTTTGGATAGAAATACTGCTTGTTTACTATGCTCTTCCAGTTGGTTTATTGGCTTTTTCCTCATAGTCTGTATAAACCAGAACTGTTAATGTCATGCATCTGTTTTGTAAATACAGTGTTAGTTTATCTCTTTACCTGACTTTAGTGTGCTATTAGAGCAAAGTCAAAATGTGGAATTTTTGTGCATGACCTTGAGGAATTCTCAACTTTTTGGTCACAGAACCTCTTTACAGTACCCAGTGAGCTTTGCTTATATTTAATACTTATCAGTGTTTACTGTATTAGAAATTAAAGGAGAGAAATTTTTTTGTTTGTTTTTATTTTGTGGTGCTCAGGATCAAACCTAGGTCCTTGCATATGCTAGGCAAGTGCTCTGAGCCTGAGTTATACTCTAAGCTAAAGCAGAGAATTTTTAAGTTATTTGTATTCATTTAAAAATCATATGCCCACTAGCACTGGTGGCTCACACCTGTAACCTAGCTGCTTGGGAGGCTGAGATTGGGAAGACTGAGATTTGAGACCAGCCTGGGCAGATAGTTTGTAAGACCCCCATCTCCAAAATAACCAGAGCAAAATGTACTGGAGGTGTGCCTCAAGCAGTAGAGCCTCCTGCTTTGCAAGCTCGAAGCCTTAAATTCAAATTGTAGTCCCACCGAAAGAAAAAAAAAATAAAACATATATCCACTAGGCATGGTGGTGCATGCCTAGAATCCCAGGTACTATGGAGGTAGAGGCAGAAGGATCCAGAGTTGAAGGCCAACCTAGGCAAAAGTAACATGAGACCCTATCTCAAAAACAAAGTAAAGGACTGATAGAGTGGTTCAAGTGGTAGAGCATGTGCAAGACCATGGGTTAAATCCTCAGTACCACAACACACACGCACACACACACACATAGTCATAAACCCATTACATGTTAATCAAATAACATGTTTTGAAAAAATAGCTATCTTTAGCAAAAAGAGTGAAAAGACTATTATTTCCATATTTTTGCAAATATCTTTAATGTTTGACTCAGTTGTATTATATGTGCTTCTGCACTCAATTGGTTTCTATTTGTTGGCTTGGTTGAGGCATATGAAAAAAGTCTGATCTCATACAGATTAGATATTGTAGGAAAAGAGAGGTATGGTGGGTTTTTTTGTCTTTTCTTTTTTGGTGCTGGGATCGAACCCAGGGCCTCACACATGCTAGGCAAGTGCTGTACTACCGAGCTACATCCCAGCCCCAAGAGGTATGTTTTAACACTTTTTTTTTTCTTTCTTTTTTTTTTTTTGAGACGGGGTGTGCACTATATTGCACAGACTGGATGGCCTGGGACTCCTGCCTTAGTCAGGAGGCTGGGATTATAGGGATGTACCACTACACCAGCTCCAGAAGCTAAAAATACAAGCTTTTTCAGATATTTGTGGACTTTTAATTTTTATTTATTTAGTTTTGCTCTCTACCACTTGAGCCTTGAACTTGAGATCCTAATGCTTCTGCATCCTAAGTAGCTGGAATTACAGCTACTCAGGTACATGGTGTACCACCATGCCAGGCTAGTTGTGGATATTCTTTGATACTATAACTTAACAAGTTTCTGAAAGATTAGTTGTGATGTGGACTCTGATACCTAATCAATGACCTTTTCATATCTTACTTATTTTTATTTAATGTAATATTTTGATGGCATTGGATTTTAACTCAGGGCTTCACACTTGCTAGGCAGGCGCTTGACCACTTGAGCCACTCTGCCAGCTCTTTTATGTGTTAGGTATTTTCAAGATAGGGTCTCATAAATTGTTTGCCCAAGCTGGCTTTGAACCTTGAACCTTCTGATCTCCAAGTAGGTAGGATTACAGGCATGAGTCCCCATTGCCTGGCTGTCCTTTATACTATTTTAAATTGAAATCCTTTGCAATATGAGACTTTGAGTAAGTCTTTTTCTTTTCTTTCTTTCTTTCTTTTTTGACAGTGTTGGGGTTTAAACTCAAGGCTGCTCTACAACTAGAGGCACATCCCCAGCCCTGAATAAATACTTTACTCATGCATGTAATATCATGCATTGGAATTCTTTTGAAAAAGACAGATTCACTGAATTACGCAGATCTCTCAAATGCTGACCTTTCATTATGTAATATCAGATAATCACATGTGTTCACAATTACTGTTGATCTTATTAGAAAAGCCAGGCATGGTGGTGCACATCTATAACTTGGGAGGCTGAGGCAGGAGGATCTTGAGTTCAAGGCCAGCCTGGGCTACATAGCAAGACCTTGTTGTTGTCCCCAGACCATCTTGGAAAACAGTGAGACCTCATCTCATAAAAACAAAAGTCTGCCAGGTGCCAGTGGCTCACATCTGTAATCCTAGCTACTTAGGAGGCAGAGATCAGAAGGATCATGGTTTGAATCCAGCCCAGACAAATAGTTCTCGAGATCCTATCCCAGAAAAAAACATCACAAATAAAGGGCTGGTGGAGTGGCTCAAGGTGTAAGCTCTGAGTTCAAGCGCCAGTACCACAAAAAAAAAAAAAAGTCTTAAGTATTAGGAAACTTCAAGTTTGTAGCATTGTGCTCAAGTTCTCTAAATATTCTGACTGTTGTTTCAAAGTCTTAATTTTATCATTGATAACAAATACTGTCCATTGTTTTCCTTGAAGTGATAGATCAACTTCATTCACTTTTGAGGAAATGCCTACTAAATATCCAAGTCTGAATAACCATAGTTTTTCTTGTTCTTTTACATGAAATTGATGTTCCAGAAAAAAAGCAACTAACTCAGTTGCACAAGTACTTTTCCTGCTGTTTTACTTTTGTTTGCAACAGCAGTGCTTTAATCATACTGTGAAATATCCTTTGATTTATTTTGCCTGCAAGTGTCTGATAAGTGAGGAATACAGTGACTTTTAGTACACTTTGGTTGCCACTGCTTTGATTTGTGCTAAGGCACAAATCTATCAGTGTGTCAATACAGTGAAAAGGGCAAATAATATGTAAGTATTGTGGTAAATAGTTTGAACTAGGGAACCCTTCTGGGTTCATTCAGCAAATCACACCTTGAGAGCTGCTGCCCTAAACTTGGTTGATACCACTAACTCTTCACTTGCTTTCCATTGGTTCACAGTCTTGAAGTGGCTTATTGACTTTTCATTAGAATAATCGTTTCAGTTGTTTACCTCATGATGTCTCTCTAATTATTGTTAAGTTAAAATGTAGCTATTACGGAGGTGAAGCTTTTTACTGTCTTACTGTTGATCCTTAAAGGAAACAGACTTCATAGAAAATAGCTGCAAAGCCTGTGGCAGCACTGAAGATGGTAATAGTTGTGTAGAAGTAATTGTTACCAATGAAAATACATCATGTACCTGTCCTAGCAGTGGCAATCTTTTGGGGTCCCCTAAAATAAAGAAAGGTAAGTAAATGATTTCTTTTTAAAATTAACTCCTAAGTCTGTCCTTTCTTTTAAATGTAAGAACTTTTAGAAGTTTTGGAATCTGTAATTTAAAAATTGATTTGTAGTCTCCAAAATATCATGCAATCTAGTCAGATACTTAATATTGCCCTTCCCTCTCTCTCTTTGTGTGTGTGTGTGTGTGTGTGTGTGTGTGTAACTCAGCATTCAACTTGAGCCACTCCACCAGCCCTTTTTTTTTTTTTTGCGAAGGGTTTTTTCGAGATAGGGTCTTGAGAACTCTTTGCCCAGGCTGGCTTTGAACCATGATCCTACTGATCTCTGCCTCCTAAGTAGCTAGGATTATAGCCACTGTTACCCTTCTCTTTATGTTCTTTGATTTGACAGAAACAAAACAGCTGTAAGTCCATTATCATATATTCATTTAATTTACTCTCTACTTTCAGTAAGTCATCAATTTTGAAATTTTTCTCTGGTCCCAGTTGGTTTGGTCTTTGTGCTATGTTAATTATAGCTTTCCCTGGGTTTATTCTCAGGCATATCTCCACACTGTAATGGTAGTGATTGTGGATATTCATCAAGCATGGAAGGGAGTGAAACAGGTTCTCGAGAAGGTTCAGATGTTGCTTGCACTGAAGGCATTTGTAACCATGATGAACATGGTAAGTTCTGATTAAGCTTCACATTTATTTCTACTATATGACTGACTGACTTAGCATAAATAAAAGGATTATTGATTTTTTTCAGGTGATGATTCCTGTGTTCATCACTGTGAAGACAAAGAAGATGATGGTGATAGTTGTGTTGAATGTTGGGCAAATTCTGAAGAGAGTAACACAAAAGGAAAAAATAAAAAGAAGAAAAAGAAAAGCAAGATGTTGAAATGTGATGAACATGTAAGTGTCATAACTTACAACTTTAAACTTGCTGTTGAAAATAGCATACTTTCTTTGTAGTGGCATGTGCATCGTAGCTGCTAAGATTTATGTTTTTTAGAATAAGTATTTTATACTGTTTATCTTGTGAGTGTGTGTGGGGTTTGGAGGTTATTTGTTCAAAAGTCCATGTGAATCATAAATCCAATTCATTCTTTTCATGATACTTTAAATTTTTTAATTAGCTATGTAATCTGGGGTAATTTTAGTTTTCCCATTTGCAGAATGGGGACAATAGTCCTGTTCTCATAAAGGTGAAGAAGTTATATGGCAGGCTAGCATAGTTTTGGGGATGTAGTAAGTGCCTAGTAAATGCCAGCTGCTGTTACGCAGTATTCCTTCTAAAGGTTTAACACTCCATGGGGCATTTTGTTGTTGATGACAGGGTCTTGCTTTGGAGCCCACGCTACCTTGGAACTTGCTGTCTTCCAGGGTATTAGTGTGTGTTTGTTTTTCTTTGAATAATAATTACTGTTCTTTCTTGGTTTTTGTTTGTTTGTTTTTTATTTTTGACTGGGACATCTTTTGCTATGGCTTTAGATCCAAAAGCTTGGAAGCTGTATTACAGATCCAGGTAATCGAGAGACCTCAGGAAATACCGTGCACACAGTGTTTCACCGAGACAAGACCAAAGATGCACATCCTGAAAGCTGTTGTAGCACTGAAAAGGGTGGGCAACCACTGCCCTGGTTTGAGCATAGAAAAAACGTACCACAGTTTGCAGAACCCACAGAAACGTTGCTTGGTCCTGATTCAGGAAAAGGTGCCAAGAGCTTAGTTGAACTCCTTGTAAGTAATCTATGTCTTACTGTGGATGAGGGGATGATATTTGAGGGTTTCAGGTGGGGAGTAGAGAGGCTTTTAAGAAAGCTAATTCCATTATACCTTGGTGATTTCATTTCTGTTCTTCTACTCTTGGTTTATGCAACTACTCTGGAGCACATTGCTTGTTCTCTTTTGCCTCAACATTAGAAGAGACTGGTTGGGTGAACAGGATAGAGAGGTAGCATGTCTATGAATCTGCCTCTTTGAAGAAGGTTATTGTAAGCAAATTTTGCCTGAATGGCAGTTTATGGTAGCCACCATTCCAGACGAGGAAAGAATACAAAATCTGAAGTAGAGCCTTCATTCTATGTTACTTCCTTTAGGTATCTTGAAGGGTAAAATCACAACTGAGCTTGGAAAATATTTTGACACCAACTCCTGAGACTTTAGATGAATTATACTGGATTCCAAGTGAACTGAGTGCAGAGTATATGTGTATTGGTTCTTGAAGGAGGGAGATTGGTGTTTTTTCCATAATAATTAGGATCCTGAGCAACCTAATCCTTTGGAATATTAGCTTTTTGCTTTTGTGTATGGTGGTAAAGTTTAATGGTAATGCTTTGTAACTTTTTAAGTTAAAAAATGTTATCTTTGGACTGAAGGTGTGGCTCAAGTGGTAGCGTGCCTGCCTGGCAAGCAATGAGAAGTCCTGAGTTCAACTCCAGTAATCCACCACCACCCCCCCAGCCGAAAAAAAAAAAAGTTCTTTTTTTTTCTTTGCATTTTTATTTTTTTCTTCCCCCTCTCCCCCCCAAAAATATTATCTTTTACTTAGTTTGCGAAGATAAAAATTTCATCAAAGGAGCAGCTAGAGATAAGTGTGGTTACTTAAAATTTGGTAACTAGTTGTAACCATCTCTAATTAGTCATTTTTTAAAGGCAGGTGGGTGTCACTATTCTGGTAGACTCATAGGAATGGAGGATAAATTGTAGATTCAGGATTTCAAACCAAGTTGAGTTTGATTTTATTCTTGTGTATTTCTAAGAATGACATGAGGCTTATTCTGTGAACACTCCAATTAAAGGCTTGTGTGACTGAATTGAAACTAACAAGCTAGGCTGCTTTAATTTTTAACTGTCTTCTATCGGCGTAACATTTTGCATTCTCAAAGTGATGTCTTAACTGCTGCTTTAATTTGCAGGATGAGTCTGAATGTACTTCAGATGAGGAAATCTTTATCTCACAAGATGAAATACAGTCATTTATGGCTAATAACCAGTCTTTCTACAGCAATAGAGAACAATACCGACAGCATCTGAAGGAGAAATTTAATAAATACTGCCGCTTAAATGACCACAAGAGGCCCATTTGTAGTGGCTGGTTGACAACGGCTGGAGCAAATTAAATAAATAAAGTAGCTCTGTCTTTCAATGAAACACTCAAGATGACTACTGCGCCTTCTCTTTCAAAAAACTCTTAATTTAGTGACTTACGACAAAATTTTATCTTAAATCAATGTGATTCTTTCTTGTTTTGGGAGACGGTGGAGGTAACCTCATTAGTTTGTTCTTTCTTCAAGCTTGTGTCTTTAGTTGCGTGGCTGCGCAGGCCTGCCATATGATTTAAGCCATCTCTTTTCATTAAATGTTTCTCTTCCTGTGAGACTTACTAAAGCAACTTAGTGGCAAAAAGTAATGTTGTACTTATACTTCTGTACAGAAATGACAATGAGCTGAATATATGGTTTTACAAAGTAGACATCCATTTGCGAAATGTTTGGATGTAATGTTAAAGCGCAATGTGCAAAATTTAAAATAAAGAATATTTATTAATACGCATAGTAGAATTTGGTGTACATATTTCTATTTAATGTGTGGCAGTGTTTTAGTATTTGCCACTTGTGAACTTGGTACTTGGTCAGTGTTGCTGGAGAAAGATGAAGAGCAAATGAAGATAGAGATGCAAATCATTGAAGACAAAATTCTTAGTTGATCAGAGTGTTAACAGCTGAGAAACGTAGTTTCTAGTCTTGTTCTGAAAGAATAAATTTGCTGCAATACCTTTAAATACTGGCTAGTATCTTACTTTTTCATGACTTCAATTGCTATTATTAAAGATTCTAAGAGGTAACAGAAAAGCCTCTTAAATTCAGAGGTTCATATTGACCAAAAGAGTGAAAATAAAATGTGGCAGAATTTCAGCCAGGGGTTGTTTGATAAGTCATTACTGAGCAGGTATGACTGGGATAAGAAGGATGCACTGAGAGCCAATCACATCGTGGTGGTTTGTATTACTGCAGCCGCAGAAAAGTCACTGTGGTCTTTCAGTTCACTGGTGTCACAAGCTGTCCAAATCTGAAGGAGAAAGATTTCTCAAGAGTAGCATTTTGCTGCTGATTAAAAGGTCAAATAGCACAATAAACACACAAACTTAGAGCTTTGTGTCTGCATGTTGATACTTGGTGGGCAACAGACAAGAGATACCTTAGTGTGGTGGGGATAGAGTGAATTTTTAGGTTTCCTGCCACTGAAATCAGATTTCAAATCGGGCAACAGTGAATGCTTAGATTTAATTTCCAGAGTTTGATGGCATTTCTTTCATCTACCTCTCCAGTTGTCTTTGAAAGCTAGGTGTGGTGAAGGAACAAAAACAGAGGTAAAAATGAGTAATGGTTCCTCTCAGACCCTTGTTTGGTTTCATTGTGGAATCCTTAAAAAATAACTGAGCTGGGCGCTGGTGGCTTGTGCCTATAATCTGCTTGGGTGGCTGAGATCGGGAAGATTGTGGTTTGAGGCCAGCCTGGGCAAATAGTTTGTGAGACCCCCATCTCCAAAATAACCAGAACAAAATGGAGCTGTGGCTCAAGCAGTAGAGCACCTGCTTTGAAATTGTGAACCCTTGAGTTAAAACCCCAGTCCTGGAAAAAAACAACAACAAAAAACTGTGCTTCCCCTAAGCCCTTGTTCTGAGAGCCCTAAAAGCCATAGCTAGTTTATTTATTTTGCTTGGTTTGTTTCTTTTAATCTTTGCCCTTGAGGCCATACAAAGGATAGGTTGTGCAGGCTGGCCTCAAACTTGAAATCCTGCCTCAGCCTTCTGACTTGTGAGATTACAAAAAAAAAAAGCCTGGCTCCAGCTTTTTTCTTTTTTTTGCAGTGCTGAGGTTCTAACTCAGGGTCTTGAGAATACTAGGCAGGTGCTCTACCACTGAGCTACATACTCAGCTTCAGAGATCCTTTTTCTTTGCATCGAGTGGCCAGAAAATAAAGTCAGCTACATTCAACAAAAATCAAACCACCGAGAATGGAATGAAGACAGTTTAGAAGCATACTCTGGTCTGACTGGACTATCTACCGTCGACATCATGCTTAGCTCCTTCTGTATCAGGTTTTTTTCTTTTCTTTTTTTCTTTTTTTTTTGTAGTACTGGCACCTGAACTCTGGCCTTAGGCTTGCTGGGCAGGCGTTCTACCACTTGAGCCACTCGAGCCACTCCCGTGGCCTCTTTTTGTTGAGTTTTTTTGAGATAGGATCTTGAGAACTATTTGCCTGGGGCTGGCTTTGAATCATGATCCTCCTGATCTCTGCCTCCAGAGTAGCTAGGATTACAGGCTTGAAGCCAGGATTATAGGCCTGAGCTACCAGAGTCCAGCTATACTCATCTTTAAAATGATGTGCTGGGATGTAGCCCAGTGTTAGCGCGCTTGCCTAGCGTGTGCGAGCCCCTGGCTTCCATCCCAGCATGGCTAAATAAGTACTGATTGTGCATATGTGTTCTAAAGTTTTTTAAAGTGCCTCACAGTAAGTACTCAATCGTAATCTTTGGTATACATCGTGAAGCATGCTATAATGACGGGAAGGGGGAAGTGTGTAAAACGGAGTAAATAGGGCCATTTAGGGAGAGAATCCCTCAATACCCTGTTTCTTTTGCCTGCTTTTTTTTTTTTCCTTTTTTCTTTTTGGATCTCCTAACTCAAACTCGCGGCCTCATAATTGGGCCAGCTCAACGCGATGTTCCCATTTTTAACCATTTAGTTCTCGGGCTAATAAGGTCGAGGGATCAGGTAAGATAGAGTCCTTCCAAAGGTCACCCAGCGTTGATGGCGGAGACACTCAACCTTTTCCGGACGGAATCCTTCCTATCACCCACCTGACTTGGGAGCGTGTTTGAGTCACCTTAAGTACCCTTAATTTCTCACCTGGCGTTACAGGTCAGGAACAGGGAATGGAGACTGACAAGGCTTTGAGTATGAGCGTCCTTGGGGCTAAAGGCAGCCTCAGCTAAACTTAGTTTTCCGACCCCAGCCCGCCTGCGCACTGCGGTTAGTAGGATTTCCCGGAGTCGAGGAGGGGCGCGGTCATCGCGTGGGGGCGGAGCCGGAAGGGGCGGGGCGGTAGTCCTCCGGCGGTATGTGGCGGGGTGCCGAGGACCGGAGGGCGGAGCCCCGGCCTGAGCCGGGCCAGCATGGGGGTGGGCCGAGGCGCAGCCAGGACGCCAGCAGGTTGGCGGCGACTGCGCGGCAGTGACAAGGGAGCGGCCGAACGTCGGCGACCCCTGCCGTAGTTCCTCCATCCAAGGGTCTGGGTCGCCGTGCGAGGTGGGCGGACGGCTCCAGACCATGGCCAGGGCGGGCATGGAGCGATGGCGCGACCGGCTGGCACTGGTGACAGGAGCCTCGGGGGGCATCGGCGCGGCCGTGGCCCGGGCCTTGGTTCAGCAGGGACTGAAGGTGGTGGGTTGTGCCCGCACCGTGGGCAACATCGAGGTAAGGTCTCTCCGGGGAGGGGAGAAACCCTAGGGGACGTTGTTTCCGCGGGGTAGGGCCCCGGGTGGGGGAGGGGAGTGGCTGGAGCCAGGCTGTGACCCTGCCAGTCACTTGCCGGCCACCCCGGGCCATTTGCAACGGGCTTAGCTAGGGCAAGGGTGACGGATGCCCAGTAGGGAGTCCATCCTCAATTTAAGTTCGTATTTTAAGGAGCTCTTTGCTTCTGACACCTTTAGCTGCAGCGTACCAAATCTCTGATCTCCGGCATTCTCCTTCTCTACTCCTCAGCCCTCCAGCTCAGAATATCCGCCTGAGGAAAGGGGCAGCCAGAGATTAGGAGCCTCTAGGCAGCCAGGGAGAGATAGAAACCTTTCAGGCCCAAGTGACCAGGTGGGCTTCCTCTTGCCCCCAGACCTAACTCACCACATCAGGCAAATTGCTGGTGAAGAAGAGTTAGACGTTCTGAATGTTTAACCCAGGACTGAGGGTGGGGTTAGGATAGGAGCTTTCCGAAGAGCCCCCCCCTCCAACTCATATCTGAGGCTTAACCCAACCAGTAGGCATAAGTGATGAGACATAATTCCTGGAAGACTTTTCCCCAATTCATTTTCCTAGGTGGGACCAAGTAGAGAAAATAGGGCATTGAACTTGTAAACCCTGAAGGGACAAAATAATGTGAGTCCAGAACTACTAGTTTTTCTCCTAGATTTGGAGCCCCCAGAATTCTGAGCAAGAAGAGCTCCCAGAAAAATGAAATGGAATTAGCTATTTTGGGCCAGGGAGAAAGGAGATGAGAAATTCCATTATAGGTTGTCTTTGGATTTTCCTTGGCAGGACCACTCTTAGGCATGGGCTAGTCCTTAGCTAAAGGGCTCTATCTCCACTATTGCTCAAAGTCCTCAGGTAGAGAAAGGGTAAGGAGGTCTCTGGTGGGGGCAGAAAGAGAAGGTATACAGGAAGGAGGACTGTCCCCTCCCTGGCTGCTGACCAAAGGTATACTTTATAACCTCCCAGATAATCCCAAGGTCACCTGGCTCCACCACTGCCCCACTCTGCCCCTCCCTTCTCTTCTGAGACGCTCAGGGCCCAGCCCCAGACTTGGAGCCTAGAGATTCAAGCCTGGGATTGGATAACTGGATTTCCTAATTCTGAAGCCACTGGTGTTCTCTTCCACTCCTTGACCCCAAGGTAGCCAGGAATGGGATCCCTGAATCCCAGGATAACTCCATGTCGAGGGGAGAATGCCTCTGCTGTGAGGGGACTGCCATGATTTCAGGTCATTTTTGAGGGTAGGTGGGAGAGATGATCCAGGTGGCACAGGTGAGGCAATGAGATGGCAGACATTGGAGAAATATATTCTCAGTCCCTCCATCCTAGTTATCCTGTGGGGGACTTTGAGTCTGGAGGAAGCGAGGAGAAGTTGGTGCTAGGGAGAGGGAGAATTCCAGGCTTCCTTGCCCACCATCTGCTTCTATTGATTGATTGATTCACTAATATTAGGGCAGAAATTATGCTCTGGCTTTCTACAGAAAGAAACCCTATTCCCTGAGGTTGTAGTGAAGAGTAAAATTGGGTGGAGGGGGGTTTCTGAGTTCCAGAGGCGTATACCTTTTGAACTTTTGAAAGTTAAAGTAGAAAAGAATTTCTTTGGTCACCTGATCCAGCTAGGTTTGGGAGAAGGAAGGGGCTCCAGGCCAAGGCAGCTGGCCAAAGTGGCCTTCCTCTAGGGCACCCTGCACCCCCTCCCCCACATGCACACAGTCACCTTCACAAGGCTCAAGAGCCCAGGCACTGGCCTACAAGGCCATACAGCCTGTTTTCTTCCTGCTTCCGAATGTCAGCTCCCCTCACAGCCAACTCTCAGTGGCTCTGCTTTCTCAGGTCTTTCTCTGTCAGGGTTCCTCAGGGTGGTGAAGACTGAAGATGCAAAGGGATGTTCTGTGTCACCTGCCACCTGATTTGTCTCATAGTTTCTAGGGGAAACTTGGAGAGAGGGAGGTGCACCAGGAGTTAGAATCTGTTCTGACATCCTGACTCCTAAAGTGGAGGGAGAGGGAAGAAGATTGGCAGTTGGACTGTGTTGAAAGGTTTGTGTGGGAACTCATCTTTGAGTTCTGTCAGACTGACTGCCATTTGTGAGGGGAGGGTGATGGTTAAGAGCTGAGCCCTTCTGGGAGGGACTGGTAGACACCAAGGGAAAAGAGAACAGACCCTGATATAACCAGTTCAGAGATTGTTGGTACTAGAGGAAAGAGCATGAGGTGGGGCGAGAGGTACTTCTACCTACAGGGAGAGGAGGTGTTTGTGTTGGGCAAGTGGCAGAAAAGAGATCTCTTCATTCCCAAGATCCCTGCTCCCATCTCCCTCCTTAGAACTGAAGATTTGAGTTTATCCTTGAGGTTCCTCCACTGATCTGCTCTTTTCCCTGTCCTCACTCAGGGAGTGTTCTGTGGACTTTGACCAGATAGGTAGGGATAGGCAGTCCCAACATATATGTGGCTGTCAGAGGAAAGAGTTCAGAGTGGTGACAGGGGAGGGAGGTTTGATTCTGGGTGGGGAGGTGTGGGAGTGAGCAGCTCACCCCAGTTAGACCCCTGTTGGGTTTCATAGGAGCTGGCTGCTGAATGTAAGAGTGCAGGCTACCCCGGGATTTTGATCCCCTACAAATGTGACCTGTCAAGTGAGGAGGACATCCTCTCCATGTTCTCAGCTGTCCGCTCTCAGCACAATGGTGTGGACATCTGCATCAACAATGCCGGCTTGGCCCGGCCTGACACCCTGCTCTCAGGCAGCACCAGCGGTTGGAAGGACATGTTCAATGTAAGGGCTTTAGGATGGGGTTGGGGATTGGGAGAAGCATGGGAGCCAGGGGTTGGTGAACCAAAGGGCTGCTGGGGACAGGACATCCAGTGAGAGGGAGCTTCAGCTTCCCACTGGGGCATCTTGGTTTTTCCCTTGCTTCCTGCTCTGTCAGAAAGATAGTGAGTGGATGAATGACCATATCTTTTCAGCTCTCCTTTTTGGGGGTGGTTCTTTTTGGGACTGGGGTTTGAACTCAGGGCTTTGTACTTGCAAAGCAGATGCTCTACCTCTTGATCCACTCCTCCAGTCCACTTTTGTTCTGGTTATTTTGGAGATGGATTCTCATGAACTGTTTGCCCAGGACTGGCCTCAAACTGCGATTCTCCCAATCTTAATCTCCCACGAAGCTAGAATTATAGGCATGAACCACTGATGCCTGGACAGGGGGTAGTTCTTAAAGTCTAAACTGATTTCCTCATGTTGGAAGAAAGATTATAGGGGAGCATTTATTGAATGCTCCCCAGGTATCTATCAGCCCTGTGCTGGATGCTTGGGGACAAGGGAGTGTGGCTCAAGTCGTAGAGTGCCTGCTTAGCAAGTGGGAGGCCCTGAGTTCAAACCCCAGTACCACAAAAAAAAAAAAGATAAGAACACCACCAGTAACTGTGGTACTTCACGCAGGTTATTACTATCAATCTTGCCACATTTAATTAGAATGAACACACTTCTATCATCAATATCTGAGGCCACAAACTCCAGTGTCCCCTGGGGGGCAGGTAACACATAAAGGGGTGAAGCAGGTCAGGTGTGGTCTGCAGTGTGGAGAGAGCACGTAGCCATGTGTCAAATCCAGCATACTTGCTCTACAGTAGTGAGGCCAGATCTTAATGATTTCTTTGAGAGACATGAGGAGGCTGTATCTCCCATTCACAAAAATGTCTGCTCTGTGAAGGTAAGGATTTTTTGTTTGCATGTATTGAATGAAAGAATACATGTTGGAAAGGTATTTAAAATGTTTTAAAGCCATGTATAGGCCAAACATGGCCTTTAGGAAATGGCTTTTCAACTTCCTGGTGACATTAGAGTATGAAAATATTCTGAGAAGTTGAAAGCAGTACCTCTCCCCCAATCCTTTTCACATCTGGTATCAATAGATTCAGTATCTAATAGGTACTTGGGCCTGGAATTGAAGCAGTGAATAATGGAGCCCTTGTTCTCAGAGAGCCTTCTGAGATCACAGTCATGACCCTCACCTGCAGCAAGCAGGTCTCAACTTGCCCTTCTGTGAAATGAAGGACTATTAAGTCCTTAAGGCCCCTTTCAGCTTGGACATTATCTTAGTCTATTGGGCTCATCCTAGAAAGCATCTTCTGCCTCCCCACACTGGCCCCTAGACCTGGGAGATTTCCTCACAGGCCCCAGGGGGTCCATTTGTCCTCCTCCATCAGCCCCACAAATCCACATTGCTAAGAAGGCAGGAAACACCCTCCTGTGTCCCAGTACCCATGTCCTGCTACTGTTATGAGCACTGAGGCAGGTTCACACCAAGGGTGTTCTGTCCTGATGCCTGGCTGACACCTGATAAAGAGAATTGTCTAATCAGCCAGCTGGTCTCTCTCTTCTTGTGAGGAGAGGAACTGGGAGTCTGAAAGCTTTATCTCCACTGTCCTCTCAGGCAGGAGAGGCTAAAGGGTGGGGCTGGGCAGGCACTTCACAGCAGATACCCTTTGGGCCTCTATTTCATGAAGGGTGGGGACCCTACCCACTGAAGAGTCCCCATGCCTGGGCTTGCTGATGGGACACAGGTCAAAGGCAGGAGGGTTGGGCCTCCTCCTCACACTTTCAGTCTAAGGGAAGGCATGGCAAGGGAGCAAGGTGGCTGGGGAAGGCCGGGAGAGGCTGGGGTCTGTAAGGAGAGAGATTTAGGCCATTTTAGGAAGGTTTTTAGTTTGTTTAGCAGAGAGCAGGGCCAGGACACCATCCTCAAGAAGGGTAGGCTATTTAGGGAAGAAAAGGAGTTGATTCCCTGAGGCAGAGGTCCTACTATTTATAGAGATGGCCCAAACAGAGTCTCCTGGGTTTAGAGGGTTTAGGAGAGTCAGCCAGGAAAGGAGCTGCCTCTGCTGTCAGCTGGGGGTGGCAGCTTTTGGGGAAGAGACAGCTTCAGAGAAGGCAGGGTGCCCTGTGCCTATCTTGGTCTCTGGAAAGACCTAGAAACCATTTGGATTGTCATGTCCCCCCAACCCCCCGCCACCACCGCCACCACCACCACCACCACCACCACCACACCACCACCACCACCACCAGCACCACCATGCTCTGTGGCTCTGCCACCTGCTCATTAGGGCCCAAGCTGGAGACACCTCATTGCCCTCCCTGGCCTGCAGGTGAATGTGCTGGCCCTCAGCATCTGCACCCGGGAAGCCTATCAGTCCATGAAGGAGCGGAACGTGGATGACGGGCATATCATTAACATCAACAGGTGAGGCCTGGTGGCCCTTCCTGCTAGGTGATCTTTTGCAGTTCACTTGACCTCCAGGCTGCAGTTTCCTTGGTGGTAAAATAGAGACTTAATACCCAAGTGGCATGATTGTGGTGAGGGAAAGAACACTGTTGTCAAGTGCCAGCCCCTGGCTGGCTAGAATGGGCAGCTCAGCCCCTGCCCCCGCAGCTTAAGCCTGTGAACTTTCCTGGGATCGAGGCCTCCATTCCTCAGGACCTAGGATGAACCCCCTCATGGTACAAAGAGACTGTACAGTTTCTGCCATAGGGAAGCCCCCTGTCTGAGGGGCTACATAGCCTCTGCCACCTCCAGAGATCTCCCAGTGAGCACACAGATAAAATGGTGAGGTTTCTGGCATTCAGCATGACTAGGACATGCACTCAGTAGTAAGCGAGGGGACAGCTTTGAGGCAGAAGAGGTTTTAGGAGCTGCACGGACAACAGCAGCTATATTCAGTGGGCTGTGGGGAGGGCCACCAGAGCTCCTCTTGACAAGGCTTCCCTGTCAGCCTCTGGGTGGTGAGGCTGACCAAGATGGCAGGGGCACTGCCAGTTTCTGTAGAGCTTCACTCTCTCCTCTTTCCTCTTCCCTTCTACCCAGCATGTGTGGCCACCGAGTTCCACACCAGTCTGTGGTCCACTTCTATAGTGCGACCAAGTATGCCGTCACTGCGCTGACAGAGGGACTGAGGCAAGAGCTTCTGGAGGCCCAGACCCACATCCGGGCCACGGTGAGGCTGTGGCCTAGCCCTGGTGGGGTTGGGGTGGGCACAGGCCCTCCCATCCCCACATGCTGCCCAGAAAGCCCATGCCCAGAGTGGATAGCCTAGAGCCCCTGGGAGTGGACTGGGTACAGAACTCCTGGGCTCTGTTGCTCCTTGTGTGGCCCTGCTCAGCCCTTGTTCATCATTTCCTTCATCCAGGAGCCACTGGCCAGGCTTAGATTTTGAGAAGAGGGTATGTGGGGTGCAACATGAAAGGAACACAGAGACTAAAGAAAGCAAGGGGTTGTGTGAAACAAGGTGCACAATGGCTGGACACCAAGACTCTGGGCTCTTCCCTTGAAGGCTGCATGAACTTGGGGAAATCATTGAACTTCCCCAAGCCTCAGTCTTTCCATTTGTAAAATGGAATTGATACTTACCTCATTATGAGACTTGAAGGAACACCATTTTGTCAAGCATTTACCCTCCATATAGGAAGGGCTCTACAGATAGCCGGGGGCATTGTGATCATTGCCAGTAGCAGTTTTGGGAAAGGGGGTGGTTACTGGACATTAGGTAGCCATCACTATTCAGCTGGAGCCCTGTGGCTTCCATCCCCCACCCCCAACCTCCCCAAAGCCTGGTACAGCTCAGCACCTGAGCAGATCCTCTCTGTTGGCGCAGTGTATCTCTCCAGGCTTGGTGGAAACACGATTCGCCTTCAAACTCCACGACAAGGACCCTGAGAAAGCAGCTGCCACCTATGAACATATAAAGGTGGGGCCTCCTGCTGGGCCCGTAAAGCCACTCAATCCCTAAGTGAAAGCAGAGGGAACCCTGGCCTTTAGACTCTACCCTCTGACAAGCTTGTTACCCCTTCTGGAGGGCTGGAGTGGGAATGTGGATGCTGGAGAGGACCTCAGTGGTGGGAAGGAACTTGGGTCCATTCTGTCTTGTCTCAACCCTTTCCCCTGCCACTCTCAGTGTCTCAAACCCGAGGATGTGGCTGAGGCTGTCATCTACGTCCTCAGCAGCCCCCCCCACGTCCAGGTGAGTCTGGCTTTGGCTGTCCATACCCTGGAGCAACCCAACCATCCCCAGAAGAGGGAAGCAGGGAGGTCTAAAGGGGAAAGGGAATGTCCTGGCTGCCTCAAGCCTTGTGCCTTCTACAGATTGGAGACATCCAGATGAGGCCCACGGAGCAGGTGACCTAGTGTCCTGTGGGGAGTTCCTCCTTCTCTTCCTACCCCTCATGGCTTGGCTCCTGCCTCTGGATTTTAGGTGTTGATTTCTGGACCCTGGATCCCTCTTTATGTTCTCACCCGCACCAAGGGCTAGAAAATTTGTTTTGTCAAATTATTTCCATTGCAAATGTAAAAATGGGCTGGGGAGAGGAAGCAGGGTTCCTGATGGTTTCACTTGTTAGCTTGTCCTGAGTCCCCTTCTTGGACTCCTTTGCCTTTGCCTGCTCTCTTCATTCTCTTCCCTTTAACCTGGGAAAAAGGATGTGGTCAAAAGGTGAGCTTCCCCATTTTCTGTCCTGAGGGATGTCAGAAAGAGGCCACTTCACTTGTGGTCTTGTATCTATGTGGTTATTCCCAGCTCCAGACTTCCTTCTCTACCTGCCCCACTGTACCCTCCTTTCCTTACCCCTTTCCCACTCTTCAGCCCAATCCTGGCTTCTTGCACGCCCTCTCCCCCCAAGGGTCATCACTTCAATTCTGACTATGACTGCAGAATACCAAGGTCTGGCACCTAATTGATTTTATTGTGATAATTAAAAAAGAAAGTAGCAACCAGTCTACCTTGGCTTCAGGAGTGTCTTTCAGTTCTTCCCCCTTTGTGCTTGGAGTGGTTGTGTCTCAATCTCTTCCAGGTGAGTGGGCAGGTGGGTGGACTTGGGGCATCACTCCTGGTTTGCAGATTACCTTGTGGAGCAGGAAAGGGTTGGATTAAGTCTTGAAAATGGAGAGGAATTTGCCAAAGAGAAGGCAAACAGGGTGTGCAAGGTTGGGAAGCCCAGAAAAGAGTACAGTATTGTGTGAATAGCACACAACTTAGTTTAGGAGCAAGACAAGGATGAATCCTTGTGAAGCCAAATGGTAAGTCTGAGGCGAGCAACACAGTGAGTCAAAAAAAAAAAAAAGGGACAGGCTGAAAAGGTGGCTCCAGCCTTGGTCACTGGAGATCTGAGCATTTATCAAAAGAATTGGGCCATTACCTGTGGGCCAAAGGCATCAGTGGTCTTGTCAGTAGGGAATAGGCTCAGAGGTCACTTCAGAAAAGAACCAGTGGCCAGGGGGTGGGAAGTATCTTTGGGGTCATGCAGATGTGGGGAAGGAGGCACAAAACAAAGACTGACTTGGATGAACAGGAAGCCAACCCGTCCCTTCAAATTGTCCTTTGCTGGTGGGTGGTTGAATGTGACCTCCCGGCTTCCTAGTACCCGTCAAGGTACAGGGTGCAACCAGCACCATCTCCACCCATCCGCCCGCAACCGTGGAGGTCGCTGCTCAGTAAGCCCCGCAGGGGGCGCTGTGGGACGTTTTGGGGGCCAGTCATGCGCAGTGCGGCGACGGGCAGGGGGCGGGGCCACAGGAACCCGGAAGCGGAGGAACCCTTGTGGGGAAGCCTGGGAGGTTGCTGTGTACCGGCTTTCCAGTTCTGGGCAGTCCTCAAGCCGGCACTCGGAAGTATTGGTCCCTGCTGAGGGGACGGGGTGGGGGTAGCAGTTTGGCCGTCTTCTTCAATATATTCGGACGACCGCAGCGGGGTCATCGAGCTATGAGACTGCTCCCGGTGATTAAGGGCGCAACCTGGTGTTGCGCCGGTCGCTTTGGCGCGCGTCGTTTCTCCTCTGCGGCTAGGCGCGGGGAGCGGCCTGGCGGGGAGGAGCTAAGCCGCCTGCGGCTGGATGACTTGGCGCCAACCCCCCGGCTCGAGCTTCTGTTTGGCCTGTCCCCATGTCTCCTGGCTCTGCGGGCCGCCCGCCGCCGCGTGGCCCGGGTCCTGCTCCAGGCCGGCCGGGCTGGGGTACAAGGGGAGAGAGCCGAGCTGCTTAGGGCGGCCGAGGCGCGGAACATCCCAGTCCTGCGGCACAGACGGCAGAAGCTGGACGCCCTGTGCCGCTACCAGGTGCACCAGGGCGTCTGCATGGAGGTGAGCCCATTGCGGCCCCGGCCTTGGAGTGAGGCCGGGGAGACAAGCCCGGGAGACGGCCCCCAGCAGCTGTGGCTCGTCCTGGAGGGGCTCCAGGATCCCCGGAATCTTGGGGCTGTGCTGCGCTCCGCTTACTTCCTCGGAGTGGACAAAGTCATCACCAGCCGGAGAAACAGGCACGGACGTCCCTTGTTCTCCATGTGCCCAACTTGGAGGCGCACGAGTTCCTAAGCACCTTGCCCTTGGGTGATCCCTCGGCCAGACCTCCCCATCGCCGGAACTCTCACCCCTAACCCTTGGGAGCCCGGGGTGAGCAGGGGACCGGGCTTGAGATTGCCCAGTCTAAAGCGGGACATGGGGGAACTTTTGCAGCTGCCCGCTCACTCCAGTAGTCAGCAAGGCCAGCGCGGGGGCTATGGAAGTGATGGACGTGTTCGCCACTGATGACCTGGCCAGTGTTTTGCAGGTAAGGGCGGGGGGCAAGAGGGGAAGGAACGGAAATGAACCTAGTTCAGCCTCTTCAAGGGCACTCAGCAAGCTGTGGATAGGGAAAGAAAAGAAAAGGGACATTGGTTGCTACGGGCTCCTCAATGCCATGGGGAAGAAACGATCCTGGTGTTTTAAACATCACAAGTGGAGCACTAAAGTTAGAGACGTTCTGGCTTCGTTCTCTTTACTGCACTCCTTCGCCAGGCAATCCTCTTTGCCCCTTCTTTGAGTCTGCTTCAGTGTCTCGTTGCCTGTCAAGTAGGTCTTCAGTGAAACTTGTTCAGTTTTGGGGAGCTGGTGGACAGGAGTCCTAGATTCAAGGATCTTTGAACCGGGAGACTTAGGAAGGGGGAAAGTTCAGGAAGCCCCTCCCGGAGTCCGTGGAGCTGTCTCCGCTGTTTCTCTTGCTGACACAAGGGGGCAGTATTGCCCTGTATTTGGTGGCCTCCTAGGCTGAGCGGCGAGAAAATCTGTTAAACAAGGGACGGCTCGGGGATGGGCCTAGAATAACGCTGCCCGATAAAAGCCATATGTGATTTAGGTTTTCTAGTAGCTACATTGAAAATAAAAAGGAACAGACGAAATTGGTTCTAGTAATTTATTTGACTTAGTGTACCCAGAATTGTTATCATTTCAACATATGGACATTTTAAATATTATTAATGAGATATTTTATATCACATTAAATTTTTTTTGAAGAAATCTTAATCTGTCAGGAAAATGTAGTATGGTTTTTAAGCAATCAAGAAATATATGTTTATTGATTTTTTTTCTTTGTTCAGTCATATTACTTGAAGTTGAAATAAGATACTTAAGCATGAAAAATAAAATAATATTTTTTACATACAGCACATCTCTGTGTAAACTGGTCACATTTCAGCTGCTTACTAGTCACACGTAATTAGTGTCTACTGTATTGAACAGCACATTTCTAGGAGCACTGTCTCATAGGAAGCCCCTTCCTATCAAGCCTGATAGGTAACCAGGTTGGGTTCCCTCTGTTAACTTCCAGCCCCTGGACAAGTACTTCCTGCAAAAAACAAAACCAAGCCGGGTACAGTTTGGCACAGCTGTAATCCCAGCTACTTGGGAGACTGAGGCAGGAGGAACATGAGTTCAAGGCCAGCAATGGGCTATGTAGCAAGACTGTTCAAATAAAGAAACAAAAACATTTAAAGCCTTTGCATGTCTCAGTAAAAGCCAAAGTCTTTCTGGTAGCCTTTAAGGTCCTAACTTACATGGCCATTGTTCTGTTTCCCACTGGTCACCTTGCTATTCCTTAGACATGCCAGGAAAGCAAAGCATCTGGGCCTTTGCACTTGCAGATCTCTGCCTAGCATGTTCTTCCCTGCTGCCTGCAAGATACATTTGAATGCAGACCTCATCATCTTCAGGTCTGTACACAAATGTCATACCAAGGAGGTTTTCCCCTACTACTCTTCCACAGGGCTGGGATTTTAGTCTGTTTTGTTTGTGGCCCCATGCCGTGTCTACAGCAGAACCTGGCCAACTTGGTGTGCTTAATAACTATTGATTAAATTGAATGGATCTGTGACTGGAAACACATGTGGGCACAGCTGTGCCCTCTTGGCCAGGGCTCTGATGATTTCATGAGAAGAACATTCTGTCTTCTTCCCTCTTTCAGGCCAAAGCTCAGCAGGGCTGGCTTGTGGCAGGCACAGTGGGCTACCTTGGGCCTGAGGTTTCCCAGTCTTCCCAGATCCCCATCACTGGTTGCTTGGAGTTCATCTGGGACCGGCCAACTCTCCTCGTGCTGGGTAGGTAGATGTTCCTCCTGCTTTTCTGTGCTCAGATGTACATTTTCTAAGCACTTGGGTGTCCATCTGGGGCCCCCTAACCCTCTGCCCCTGCCCATGCAGGAAATGAAGGCTCTGGTCTGTCACAGGAGGTGCTGGCCTCCTGCCAGCTTCTCCTTACCATCCTGCCTGGGCGCCAGCTGCCTCCTGGACTTGAGTCCCTGAATGTGTCTGTGGCTACAGGTGAGTCTGCTTCCTTTTCTTACTGCCCTTTAGTCATATAGGGGTAGCTTCTGTCTCATCCCATTTTTGGCTGATTCCCCCTAAACCTCAGGTTTTTTGTGCCTCAGTTGTTTATGTGCAAAATGGGGAAAATACCTCCTTTTGAGGATGAAATGAAGGAGTGCCCTGCACATGTCAAGGGCTCCAGAAATGGTCTTTCTGCTTTTTCTAACCCTCTCTCTTGTCTGTCTGTCTGTGCAGGAATTCTGCTTCACTCCATTTGCAGCCAGAGGAAAGGTATCCCTGTAGAGAAGGAGAGAGGGTAACTTCTCCAGGACCCTCAACAACCCCCAGCTACATCTAAAGAACACCCAGTGGCTCAGCACCCAGCATTGTCTTCAGGGTCAGAAAAGAGAGGCTAAATGGGGGCTGACTTGAACCCTCCAAGATGAGCGTGTGCTGGAGTCAGAATGGGTTACCCACTCCCCGAGGCTCCCACATGCTGGAATCTGCCTGAGTATACACCCAAACCCCTGTTTTGATGTTGGAGATGGTAGTTTGTTCATTTCCAGGATGGGCTAGGATGGAGGGTGTCTGTCCTCCCAGGCCCCGACTGGAAGTCAAGGAGAAGTCTAGACATCAGAAGGGAATCAGGCAGTCCAGGCCAGAGGTTTGAGTCCTCCTGAGCCAGGTGTTGCCTGTGGCAAAGGTGAGTGTGAGAATGTAGAGGCCAAGGCCTTCTGAGTATAGACCAGGTACAAACCCCTACCTCACAGGGTTGTTGTGAGGATCAAATAAAATATCACCAGGTCAGTGGGTACTCACCAAATGGATGTTCTGCCTACTTCCTCTGCTAGGTGGCAGCATTGCCCTTTAATCCGTGGTTTCCTTCCAGTGCTTTTGTAGCCCCTTGGTGAGACGCCTGACTGCAGCTCCAGACACTGGGAAAATAAGCAAATGCCCCTTGACCCCACATCACCCCCCTCAATCAGTCAGTCCAGCTCAGCAAGGACTCCATGACTCAAGCCCTCACCTTTGAGTCTGAGGTGATGAAGATGGGATCACTCTTGTGCAACCAGACAGGCTTGGTCTCCACCAGCTGGGTCCCCAAGTGTAGCAGAAGCCATGATTTGAGTCATGCAGAATGAAGGTTCTCAGTCTTGGCTGCATATTGGAAAAAAAACCAAGCAAACCCAACACTGCCATCAGTCTGATGCAGTGGGTCTGGTACATTAGGATTTTATTTTTATTTTATTATCGTTGTTGTTATTTTGTTTGCTTGTTTTTGAGGCTGGTGTTCACTGTGTGGGCCAGGCTGGCCTGGAACTTGTGATCCTGTCTCAGCCTCTCAACTGCAGTTACAGTGCACCACCACATCCAGCTGGGCCTGAGGATTTTTAAACCTCCAAGGTGCAGCCAAAGCTGAGAAGCACTGAGCAGTTTCTCAACTTCACACTATTGATATTTGGGGCCAGATTGCTCTTTGCTGAGAGCTGCCCTGAGCATTTAGGATGAGTAGCAGCACCCCTGGCTTTTACCCCAGATTACAGTTGATCTGTCCCCCATCCCAGTTATGAGACCAAAACCATCTCCAGCCATTGCATAGCTTTCCCAACTGAGAACTGCAGCATTTGGGTTGGGAGGACAGGAATCCCTGAGCTGTAATCCTGATCACTGTGTGGCTTTGGGCAAGTTGCCTACACACCTGAGCCTCAGTGTTCTCCTCAGTGAGAAAGGAAACTTGTATTCCTGGATTTCTGGGAGGACACAGAAAACAATAGGAACTTGGTGCTTCATATGTAAGAGGTGCTCAATAAATAGTATTCCCCTTTCCTCTGGAATGCATATGGAATAGATTTAAAGTCACTTTCCTCTTGAGAAAGAGGATGAAAATCCTTTCATAAACTCTAGCATCTGTCTCCCTTCAGCTCCTCCCCTGAGTGCCATACACACTCTGATGCTGAGCCTCTCCTAACCCTATTTTGGCCTTGGCCAATAATCTAGCACAGTGATTTTTAACTTTGGCTGTACTTTGGAGCTGTGGGGTCAGAGAAGGGGATGGCTTTAGTATTTCTGATACCCAGAGACACCAGAACAGTAAAATAGTAGTAGTCTCTGGAGAAGGAGCTGGGTATCAGTATCTCTTAAAGCTTCCAGTTGATATTGTGTCATTGGGTGCAAGAATCACTGACCTAACTGGGTATGGTGGTGTAAACCTATAATCTTAGCCCTTGAGAGGCTGAGGTAGGAGGATTTATGAGTTCATTACCAGCCTGGGCTATATAGCAAGACCCTAACTCAAAAAAAAAGAGTCACCTTCATGTCCAAGAAAAGCTTCACTTTTACTACAGTATATTCACACCTGTGCTTTTTGAGCTCATGCCTGAAAGCTTGGGTCAGAAGGATGTTTCAGATAAGAGTCTTTGAACGATTCAGGTTCCAGCCCTGGCCCCGTGGTGGCCTACCTAGATTGGCTTCTCAGCTTTCATCTATAAAACAGGGATAGATTAATACTGGATTTATCCACCCCTTCTAGGCAGGAAAGCGAATAATAAAAATAAAAAGTATCAGTAAAGAATGTTCTTTTGGGCTAGGGTTTTAGCTCAGTGATGGAGCACCTGGCTAGCATGTGAGGCCCTGGATTTGATTCCCAGCACTGAAAGAAAAAAAGTTCAGTGAGGTAAAATACTGTGCACCACAGGAAATAGGACTAGCACATAATACAAACCTGGATGTGGTAATTTGCTTAATTGGGTCATGGGGTACCTAGAAATGTGGTCAAACATTTCTTTGGGTGTTTCTTTGAGGACATTTGTGAAGGAGATTAATACTTAAATCAGTAGGCTGAATAAAGCAGATTGCCCTCTCCTCCCTAATGTGGGTGGGCCACATCTAGTCAGTGAAGGCCTGAATAGGACAAAAGGCCCACCATCCTGCAGGTGAGAAAATCATCCTGCCTTCACATTCAACATCCAGTCTTCCTAGTTCTTCAGCCTGCTGCCCTTTGACTGGGAGCTATGCCATTGGCTCTCCTGCTTCTCAGGCCTTCAGAGTCAGCCTGGAACCACACAGTCATCTCTCCCGGGTCTTCAGCTTGTCCCTTACTCTGCAGATCTTGGGACTTAGCCACCTCCATAATTGTGTGAGCCAATTCCTGATAATAGATCTTGTACACACGCACAGTGTCTCCAGAGAACCCTGACTAAGATACTTGATGAAAATAAAGCAAATGTCCCAGTGCTCCTCCACGTGGGTATGGAGCTGAGCCCTGCTATCTAGACCCGGCCCAGCCTGGAACCCTGAGCTAGAGGGGAGAACAGGTGCTTAGGAGCAGGACCCTGCCTGCTAAGCACTATTGCTTTCAGCTCCAACCCTGTGATGCGCTAGTGGTTTAAATGTGGACACACCCCTCAATTCCAAGCCTCAGATTTCTTTTTTTTTAAAAAAAATTTACTTATTTAATTGAAAAACAGTGTTTGTACATGTTTATGGGGTACAGTGTGCTGTTCTTTTAGGGAGGGTGGTGAGCACCTCATGCTAGCCAAGCTGGCACATTACCTGTTGAACCTCCAGCCCCAAGCCTCAGTTTTCATCATCTCTCAGGTGGGAATAACAGTATCCTCTGAAGGATTGTGGTATGGATTAAAAGATCATACTTGGGAAGTCCTCAGCCCTAGACTGTAGCCGTCCTTGCTACACCTGAAGGCAGACCTCAAGATCAGGGCACTGAGCTATGCTCTTCTTCCAGTCTGGCCTCAGTTTCCCCATAGGCTCTAGGGCCCCTTTCAGCTGCAACACATCATGATTTATCCTGCAACTCCCAAAGGAGTTGGGGAGGGGAAAGGACATTTGCAAGTTTCCTTTTGCCAGATGCTCCCTAGCCAAGAAGAGAGTCTTGGGAGGATTTGGGGCTGGTAAAGACCACACCTCGGCCCCCCCACTACAGGGCTAACCTGTCAAACCTCCTTCCTCCCAGCCTGGAGTCCTAATAGACTCCTGCACTTGTTCCTGCAGGGCTAGGTCTCCTGCAGGGCCAGGCGCCAGGGATCTCCACAGTTTGTAAATGTAATCAACCTTGAGGTTTCTCACTTCCACAGGTGCAATTAGCATGCCCATCTGCTAATCCCTGATTAATGATGTTTACAAACATGGGACTCCACTCACAGAGCTGCTCCACTCATGGAGCTGCTCAGCCTCTCCTTTCCACAGCTGGGAAGTGGGGGTTTTCCCAGCAACCCCTCCTCACTTCTTCAGGCCTCTGCAGCCAACACCTCTGTCCCTGTTCTTCCCCAGGCAGAAGGCAGAGCTGAAGTACCCCTGCTCCCCCACCCTTCTTGCAAGAGAGAGCAGACAGGGAGCTCTGCCTATGGGGCTTGGTGGTGGGGCTGGGATCCTGCCCAACCTTCTTCCCAATTCTGGAACTCTGAGGACACAAGGTAATCACTGCCTTTATTCACCATCCCAACGCCAGCCTGGGCCAAACCGGCTTCCCTGGATAGAGTCCTTGGTGGGTGCATATCAGGGCTATGGTACCAAAAGTATAAAGAACACAGACTTTTTTTTTGAGACAGAGTCCCAGCTGGGCATTGGTAACTCATGCCTGTAATCCTAGCTACTGGGGAGGCTGAGGTTGGGAGCATCATGATTTGAGGTCAGCCAGGGTAAATAGTTCGTGAGACTCCATCTCCAAAATAACCATAGCAAAATGGACTGGAGGTGTGTCTCAAGCAGTACAGCACCTGCTTTGTAAGCACAAAGTCCTAAATTCAAACGCCAGTTCCACCAGAGAGAGAGTCTCATTTTGTAGTCCAGGTTGGCCTTGAACTTTTGATCCTCCTTCCTCAGCCTCCCAAATGCTGACATTGCAAGACCTGTGCCACCATTCCCAGCTCAGAGAACACAGACTTCTGAGTCAGACAGTCCTGGGTCCCAAAGTTGGCTCTACTTTAGCCAAATTGGGTAATGAGATGAGCCTCAGTTTCTTCTATAAAATGGAGATAAAAGCAGTACTTACCATATAGGTGTAAGGTTTATAGGCAAGGACTAATAATAGGATATATGAAAAAGACTTAGCACAATGCCAGAGGCACAGTAGGTGCTCAAAAAATGGGAACTATTTATTGAAAATAATAATGATGATTCTGAAGCTAGGAGATGCCTCAAAACCCCTCCTTCTGCATCACCTCCTCTCTGGGGAGAAGGGCAGGTCTCAGCTCATTACTAGTGGGGGCTGGGTGGAGGTGTCAGATTGGAATTGCTGCTGGGTCTGTTCACAGCTTCCCTGTTTCATTAACACCTCCCCAGTGGTCTTCGAGCATTCTGCTAGGGGAGGTGCTCCAGAAAGTTCTAATGCCTCCTACCCAGCCTCCTTAAGCCCAGTCCCCTCACTTTTAGGTTTCTGCTCCAGATGTGCACAGAGGGGGTCTTACATCATGGAGAGGCAACCACTAACCAGGAAGCTGTCATTGTTCCCTCTTCTGAGGGTTCTGGAGGGAGGCCTGGTTAGGGGACATGGCACCTGGGGGTGGTTCATCCTTTACCCTCTCCCATGTACCTGTAATCCATATGTTCCAGTCCCCCTCAGTCTTCTGCACCCCAAAGCCTGCAGCCTTTTCTTCCTTTGGAATCCTTCATGAATGGGTGTAAACACGGTTCAGTCTTGGGTGCCAATCCTTGCCCTCCTCTCCCTTGCTGTATGGCCTCAGGCAAGTCGCTTATCATTTGTCTTTTCTGAAAAATGAGGGTACCATACCTGGCAGGGGTTATCATAGTAAATTGTAAACTTCCATTAACTGGTAACAATGGCTGTCATCTTACAATTACAAAACTGCTCTGTTCTTGGAATTGTCTTTTAAAACGTAGAACTTGTTTGGTGGATTGGAGTGGGAGGAGGGGGAACTGGGTCAGAACCCCAGGACCATGAGCACATCCCAAGAAGCAGGAAAGGATGTGAACTCTCTCCCCCACCCTCCACCCCCGTAATTATTCCAGCTTCTCCAGACTGGGACAAGAGGGGCCTATTGCTGTGTTGGGCCCAAGAGATTTATATCTTGGGCTGTGCAGAAGCTGCTTCTAAACAAGGTTCCTCTCCACTCCAAGAAGGATTTTATGGCCCCATGCCCTCTCTGTCACAATATTCCATTTCAGAGGACACCCTTCACCAGCTGCGCAGGTTGGGGAAGGAGGGGCTGGGCCCTGGCTTT